GACAGCTATGTTTTTAAAAGCCCTATCTCTATTCCCACTCGACATATAAACAAGATGTCGTCCCCAAATACGTATATTTGATTTTCCCTGAATGTTCATCTTAGAGTACAAATGCTATCTTGAGATAATCCATTCTAGCCTTGGACCTTTATCCTTTCCCAAGCTTCTGCTTTCAGGAAGACTCTTTCACCAGATGTCATCCATCATCATTTCTTGCTAAGATGCACATGTATGTTCCAGGATATTTGCTACTCCCTTGGGAAAACATTGCCATTTCTTTAAATGATGGAATTCTCTGATTTCACTAACTTTTCACCAATACACATCATCCATTCTATCTTATTCATTCTCATATAACTAATTCTTGAATATCTACATCTTCAAAGAACAAATTCAATCAACAGATCTGTAAGGATATTTATAGTGATAACTTCCCAAACTGCGTATCTGGCCTAGACTTCTCTCCAGAATAATAAATATTTTCAACTATCAGCTGACTCAACATCTCTACCTGCATACCCTTCTTTCCAATTCAATATTCTACCCATTAGAAAGCATTGTATTGAATAGACATTTTTATTATGGAAATTTCGATGATACATGTGAAATAATATATACAATGTATGTACGTATGGCATAATGAATGCACATGTGTGTATTTATTGAATAAAACGAACAGCAATGAGCATACTACCCAACTTTCAAGCTGGAAGATGACCAACATCATGGAAGCTATTTGAGTATTCTCCCCTAAGTCTCATCCCCACCACCCCATTACCACAATCCATATTTATGTTGATTATTCTCTTGCTTTTAAAAGTTTTTTAAATCACACATGTATATATCTCTGAATAATATCACTTAGCTTTCTTTGCCTTTGACCTATGTAAAAATTATCATGTAGTATACTGGACTGCTTTTATGGCTCCATATTATGATTTTAAGGTTCATCCACATTGCTGCATGAAGCTATTATTTGTTCTTTTTCAGTCCACTTAACACATGATAATGTAAATAGGCCACAATTCACTTACTTACTTGGAATACTTTAAAGTTTTTGTTATTACAAATAATGCTACCATGACTATTTTTGTACATGTGTCCTGGTGCATACATATATGTGCAAGAGTTTCTTTAGGCCCTAAAATGAAGGTGTACACATTCAGGAATGAAATTGCTGGAATTATTTTCAACTGTAGAAGATTGTTGTGAAAAATTTTTCAAAATTGCTTTCCAAAGTGGTTTGTTCTTATAAATTTAATCGTCTACTAGCAGAGTACAAGTATTCCTTTTGTTCTACATCATTGATACTACTTGATATTGTTAGAGCTTTTGATACTTGACAACTTAGTTGGTGTAAAATAGTATTTCATAATAATCTGAATTTAGATTTCCCTGAATTTTAAGGAGGCCGAACAATTTTCACATGGCTATTTACAATTCATGTTTTCTTCTTGGTACGTATGTCTTTTGTTTTTAATATTTTTTTACCTTTTTCTTACTGACTTATAGGTAGTCTTCATAAATATATATACTTGATATGTATATATACTTTCTATATACTTCTATATATATTAATACTTGACAGTTACAGAAGTGGCAGATATAGTCTCCCAGTGTGGCTTATCTTTTTTATGATGACTGATACAAATATATGAAATTTCAATATATTTAGTGTTTGATGTGCCTTGTTTAAAAATCCTTCCCTTTCTAAGGTCTTAAAGATATTCTCCTGTATTTTCTTTGAAAGTTTTTAGAGTTATTTGTTCTTTTGAATTTAAGTCTTTAATTCACCTAGAGTTGCTTTTTGTGCATGGTGCAGTGTAGGCATTTGTTTTAATTTTCTTCCATGTAAATAACCAATTATCACAGTGCCTTCTAACAGTCCCAAACCTTAACTGATCTATTATAAATTGTTTCCATGTGAGTGGGACTTCCCGGGCTATGATGCTCCACTATCAGTTTGTTATCCCCCGTTAATACTGCACTGTCTTAGTTTCTATGGCTCTATAACAAGTCTTGGTATTTGACAGAGCAAGTTATTGTCTTCAGAAGTGTTTTGGCTATTCTTCATCCTTTGCTCTTCTGTATAAATTTTAGAATAAGCTTATAAAACTTAATGAAAACTATTGGGATTTTTACTGGAATTGCATTGAATTCAGAGATTGAGAGATGTGACATCCTAAAGTATCTATTATTTGTAACCATGATGATTGTGTAACTTCCATTTCAATAGGTTTTCTTTAAAGTATCCCATAAAGTTAAAAAAAAATTCTCCATAAAGTTGTTATTCACTTTTGTTGGATTTATTTCTGGGTAACACGCCACTGTTTTCTTCTCTTTTCAAAGACTTTATTTCTTTAGAGCAGTTTTATGTTCACAAGAAAATTGAGAGGAAGGTACAGAGCTTTCCCATAACTCCCCTGTCCCCACACAGGCACATCTTCCCCCATTATCAACATCCCTACCACAGGGGTACATTTGTTACAATTGATGAACCTACACTGACATATCATAATCATCCAAAGTCCACAATTTACCTCAGGGTTCCCTCTTGGTGCTGCAAGTTCTATGGGTTTGGACAAATGTATAAGGTCATGTATCCATCATTATAGTATCATATATTTTCACTGCCCTAAACATCCTCTGTGCTCTATTCCTCCTTCCCTGCCCCTCCCTCCAAGCCCTGGCAACACTGATTTTTTCACTGTGTCCATACTTTTGCTTTTTCCACAATGTCATATAGTCGGAATCATAGGGAAGCCTTTTCAGATTGGTTTCTTTCACTTGGTAATATACATTTAAGGTTCCATAACATCTTTTCATGGCTTCATATCTTATTTCTTTTTAACACTGAATAGTATTCCATTATCTAGAATTTTTTTTTTGAATTGTTTTCTCCTGTTGCTCATATTTGAAAATGCAACTTTTTGAGCATATCTGTAAATCTGTAAAATCGACCTCTTTAAGCTTTACATCTTCCTTTCCAATCGTGACACCTTTCAGTTCGTTTTTGTACCTTACTACACCAGCTGGGGTGTCTAGTACAATGCTGAATTACATTTTACTTGATCAGTCTCTGATTTTAAAGGGATTTTTCTAACATTTCATAATTAAGAATAACGTATGCTAGATACTTTTATAGATTTTCTTTACCTGGTAAAGTTTCCTTCTTTTCCTAGTTTGCTAAGTGTGTGCATGTTTTCTACTCATTACAGTGATTGAATTTTACCAAACTTTTTTTATACAGACTGAGAAAATGGTTTTTCTCCATTTGTTAATGTGATGAATTGGACTTTAGATTTCTTAATGTTATTTTATTCTTACACTCCTGATATAAACCCAACTTGATTATGGTATATCATTTTCTTAAGAATAAATGCTCTGTGTTGCTGATATTTTATGATGTTTTAGTATTATGTTGGGTAAGGCTGACATAAGGCTGACTTGCATTTTTTCTTCACACTATTCTTGTCTGAGTTTTGGTATCAAGGTTATATTGGTCCATAGGGATGAGTTGAGGCATGTCTTCTCTTTCTGTTCTCTTGGAAGAGTATGTTCAGTGGAACTAGGCTGTGAAGCCTTCTGAGGCTGCTGCCTCCTTTCCATTGACAAGGGTTGTGATACTAACAACATACAGGGAAGTACAGCTAACATCTTACTGTGCGCTTCTCATTTCCTCAACTTTTCTGTGCCTTCTTCTGGATGTTTTTTCTTATTCCATTTTCCCTCTCCATCAATTAGGAGTTACAAACACTGATGCCGTTTACCTTTTACCATGAAATTTTACCGGGCATATGTTAACGTTTAAATGTAAATTAAAGTCAGTATCATAATGTCCTTCCTGAATACAAAGCTCTTGGGGATACTTTAATTTTGCTCATCCTTCCCAATTTACTTGCCAAAGTTTTCGAATATTTAATCTTTTAACTGATCCAAATTAGACATTGTTTACTAATGTTCGATCACCTTTAAAAACAACAAAGGCTCGTTAAGTTCAATTTGGAGTAAAGTCTTTTGAAAAATTCTGTGACACTAAATGCATTTTATAAATGCACAGACTAAACTCATCAGGCAAATCACGTGGGGTAAGGCTTAAAATTAATCAATTATATGAATTAACAACGTTTGCAAATCCTAAACAGACCATGGGACTCTATGGAAAGGCAATGGAGAGGTCCATTTCTATTCCCTCTTCATAAAGCCAATCTTCATCCTCTTCATTTTTGGATTTCTGCAATAACCATCCATCTTACTACTTTCAATCCAGCTTCCTTGCTGCAGGCTAACTGATTTTTAAAAAGTGCTTTCTGATAAATTTCCAAACTGTTGACCACAGAACAAATGCCCAGCTCCTTAGCACAGCTTACAGGGTCTTTTGTGATCACGTCCCTCCCTTGTTTTTTAGATTCACTTGAACTACAAACATCATTCAAACTACATCCAGTTATGTGATTATTTTACTATGCTACTGTGTCACACTTTGCACCTTTAAAAAGGATGTTAATCCTTGCCCATCCTTTAAGACTTTAATGTCACTGAGAAACCTTTCTGGACTTCCTTAGGCAGTAAGGTACTCACCCTCCCTCCTATGTATTTTCATAGCACTTGGTGGTACAAGTAGCCTGTTATTGGTAGTAAATGCCAAATTTACTGGTTCAAATTTACACTTCCCATTGTGTGACTTACACCTTGGTTTCTTTATCTCATGAATTAGGTTACTAATACTTATCTCACAGGGTTCTGAGACAGATAAAACCAGTCCCCAGTAATTATATGCAAATACTCCAAAACATTCTTTTCATTTTATATAAACCTTTAAGTGTCCAATATGTGCAAGACATCAGGAATACATCTAAGAGATGAACAGGATACAGTTCCTTTGCTGTGATGATAATGGGCTCATAGGACAGAATAAACCTGGTAGTAGCACCACTATAGAAAGATTACTCAATAGCTTTTTTCTGAGTGAATGGACAACATACATAAGCAATACAAGATAATCTTCAAAAGCTTTTATGAGTGTAGACTTAAAAAAGAACAAATGCCAACTTCTAGCAACTGGTATCAGACTACGCATGAGGTTACATTCTGTGTTTGAGGATAATTAAAGGCATAAATAGTCCGATTCAGGTGTTTGTAATAATGTAACTTTCACATAAAATACTACATAAAGGATGAACGATCAGTAGTATATATTGAGTTTCAACTAAATTTGGACAAAAATGTTCTTTATATCTAGCACACACAAAAAATTAAAAAGCCTATCCAAGTATTTAATAAAACACTTATAAAATATTTGTCATATCCATAAAGTTTATTTTAAAAAATTGTTAAAAACTAACCATACAGGAATATTTATGAATATACTTAAAAAGTTTGTTCCCCATGTTGAAGGAAAATACATTAGCAACATCTTCCAGACACCATCTTTATAAAAGTAAAACTTCTCGATGCTGAAATGTACTACAGTAGATTCTAGTTTACACTTTTAATCACAGGATTGGAAATAACTCTCCCTACTCCCCCATTCCCCTCAACGTGGCAGTTATTACACTTAAATTAATGACATTCAATCATGTTAAACTACCACAGATGCTTAAATAGAGTACACACTGCATATCTACCAACAGAGCAAGTCTTCTCTATCTGTTGTCACACAATTATTTTTGATGAGCATTTGACTTTAAGTACAAACAGAAATACTACATCCCATAATTGTAAACATTCACCAGGAGCTTCCAGAGCAGAATGAGCAATAGAGGTGGCCCAAGAGTCAGTCAAATGTTCCTCACTCATTTGGATACTGCTGAGCTTAAGAAAAAAGTTTTGAAGGCAAATTATCACAAGCCTTACTTGTATTTCTGTAAGACAGTAGTTCTGGATACATATTTTTAGTCAAAAACACCTGAAAGTCATTCTAAAGACTATAATAAGCACCATTTTCACTTACCTGAAATATATTGAGTTAAATTCAGCAGTATATATATGATCATTAATGTCAGAAATGAAAAGTAACTGTGGGTCTCCAGTTCCCTTTTGTGGATACATGTGGAGTACAGAGTTCCAATGATGCTAACAGGAATCACTCATGCACACCAAGGGCCACAGGCAACCCGTAAGTCTGAGGCACAACTATTACTTCTGTCAGTGGATGCTATACGAGCAGATTTAAGGCTGTATTCGGCTATAAAGAGTTCAACCTCCTCTTTAGTATTCTTCCTACATAGATCACGTACACTCAAAATTTCATCAGGTGGGAGGTGAAAAGTCCCCAAACAGTTTTTTAATACTATTTCCCATACAATTTGCTGTCAGTATATTTACAAAGGGGAGTGTTCAGACTTAAAACCATTAAAAAAAATGCAACCGTGGTTTTTAAACTTTTCTCCCAATTTCCCGAGGATTATCCTGATTTTCTGACTTCTGGTCACCTTCACATTTGTCACATTGTTCAGTGCAGTCCTTAGGTAATTGTGATGCTGCTCCAAAAGAGAATACAAATTAAAATATATTCACTGCCACCCACTTTGGGACAGGCCTGGTTGCAAAGAAAATGGTGTTCCTGGCGTTGAAGGATAACTAGGAAACCCATCAGGCTGAGCTGGATAGCTGTCCAGAGCTGAAGCTGAGTGAACCTGACAGAAAGAAGAACACGCAGTTTAGCAGAGTACCAGATTCAGTCAGGTCTGTACTTGCTTTCGTCTGTGCCACACTAGATATTCAGAACAGGAAAGAAAAGAAAAAAGTCTGGGGCAAAACAAGTCTGCTCAGCTTCCTGAGATTAAAACGTTAAAACTTCTTCAGATATAGGAAATGCATAGAAATGTCATTAAAATATTTAATATTCTTTTTATTTTATTTTATTTATTTCTATTTATTTTAAAAAAAATCAATAGGTTTTCTAGATATAATTTACTTTAATGGCCCATTATTTTAGCTTAAATTGTGGAAGACAAGCTAAACTTTAACTGCCATGTATAAAGATGCCGTTTGTGAAATCGTCAAACTGAGACTTTAAACTCTAGAAGCAGGAAAAACGATTCATGCGGATGAATATATTCCACCACCTGTGTTACCCTTCTGAAGGAAGACAAGCATAATTTGAAAACTTTGGAAGAATTAATTATCAAATCTCTAAACATTCTCATAACTTTTTTTGCCAATGTTGGGATATCACAATTGGTATTGCAATGGTATCGCTACAGAAGCTCTGTTCCATATGCTGCCATTTTATTTATGCCAGACATTGCCTGCTTACCTGCTGTAACAATGCTGACTGTGCAGCTGCATTATGCTGTAATTCTTGCAAGGATGACTGTGAGGGATTCTGGGAAAACCCAGGGATACCTGGGAGGGACAAAAGGCCTGGAAAAACAGAACTGCCTGCAGCTTGAAGTCCAGAGGATAAGCTAAAACAACAGATAGAACAGGTCAAACTGCAGGTAAGACATAAAAACTACAGTTTCTACATTTACCAAACATAAGATCTTAAGATGTAAAAAAAAAAAAAAATCTTAGAGTTTCTGTTGGAAGCAACCATAATAGTCAGTCATTTGCTAATGTAAAACTTACTTTCTATTATAAATTATTCTGAATTCAGTAAGTCTATGTTTTGCATATAATACTTTCTGCTGTTTCATAGTCAAGTTAAATTACCAAATACAAGTCCTAAATTAACTGAGCCGGCATTAATATTTTACATATTTATCTTAACAGGTTTGAAGAACCACAAAACATTTTTTGAGCAGTGAAGTTTTAGCCCAGAAAAATATACTTTAGCACCACCAAACAACCATATTTTGACTTTCATTTGAATGACTTAAAAGTAAGACTATGACCTACAAGTTTGTTAAAGAATGATTTTATCCCATTTCTAAACTATTCACATACCCGGCTTGTGCAACAAGGGCAGAGTTGAAGTTGGAACTAAATGCTGAAGCAAATCCTGGGAGGACGGGAGCTGGTGATGGGGCTGTGGCAGCAACAGGAAGTGGCGTGACCGCGGCAACTGTAGAGGGTGCCTGCAGCCCCGGGAACGAAGGGAGAGCAGGGGTGACGCTGGGGGTGTTAGCGACAGAGAAGCCAGGGAAGGGGGGATTTGAAGACGGCAGAGGTCCTTGAGTGACTGAAAAAAGTGAGGGGACAGCGGTGGACAGGCTGAGGGGGAAAGGTGCTGCCGAGACTGGCACGGAGGCAGAAAGCCCTGAGAGAACGGCCGCTGTAGAACTAGGGTGAGGGACAGAGGTGGACGTGACAGCCGCAGATGAGGTGGCTATTAACGATCCTGGAAGAGATACTGATGGATTAAGAGACGGGTTGCCAGTTAAAGGGAAATTATTGGTCAAAGAGGTGAAAGGAGGCAGAGCAGTGAACACTGGAGTGATGGGGGTGGAGGAACCATGTGGAGGAAGGGATATAGAGGAGAGGGGATTTGAAACATTCAAGGGAGTACTCAAACTGGAGAGCCCTGATAATGCAGGATTAAGGCAAGTAGATAAACTGATGGGCACTGATGCTGAAGTATATGCACGACCCAACGTCCCTGATAAACCTAAAGTGCCATGAGAGGGATTCACGGAATGAGATGGGCCTTTGAAGGCCGAGGGAGTAGGACTCGTGGGCTCAGTTTTGATCATGACAGACAGAGTTGTTACAGCAGGGGTTGATGAAATGTGCAGGTCTGAGTTACTTGGGTGGGAGCCATGCAAAAGGGTAGCTGAGGAACCACAGCTAACTGGCACTGAAGTCGAAGATGATGTAGAAGTCGCTAAAGGAGACTGTACAGGCAAAGTAGGGGGAGTGGAGGTTGAGTTAGCCACAGGAGAGGGCAGGCCTGGGAACATGGCCAATCCTGGAGTGGAAGACCTCTGTGGGGCAGGAATGGCTGACGGGGCATAGCACTTGTTAGCGGCTAAAGCAGGAGAATCAGAGCTCTGATTAGTAAGAGAAGACAGAGAAGCCAGACCATTTGTGACAGCAGAAGGTAAAGCAGAAGGGTTGATTAGATTGGTATCATTTGATGTCAGAAAGCCTTTTAAAGCAGATAGAAGAGGACTATTTACACCAAGCGGACAGGCAACACTGGGAGCAGAAACACCGGCAATTACAGAAGGAGTTGGGTTGGACACACCTTGGGATGTTGGTGTTAAGGGCAAAGGGAGACCTGCAAAAACTGATGACAATGAAGCAGAATTTGGGTTGTTGGTAGAAGGAGCAGTAGAGGTGGCAGAAAAGGGGAGGCCAGTGAAAGGGGCAGAAGTAGAAGCGAATGTTTCATGGGAAGCAGGGGTGGCCCGAGGTGTAGATGTGGCCTGAGGCGCTGGGGCAGGAGCGGCAGAAGGACCTGGCAGTGGAACTAGGCCAGAAAAAACTGAAGGAACAGGAGCAGACGTTGTACTGTGGACAGAAGTAACAGGTGCAGCAGACAGTGACGGGGTTCTGATAACCGTTGGATTTGGCGTTGATGGCTGAGGTGTGTGAATGGCTGCGGAGACCTGCCCTGGGAACACAGGAAGGACAGTATTTGGCACATTCATCCCAGAAATGGTGGCAGTGGCTGATGCTGCTGGATGATATACTGCCTTGACCGGGGATGCAGTGGGGACGGGAGCTGCAGCAGGTGTTGAAGGATTAGAACCGTGAGGAGAAAAGAGTTGACTTGCTGGGGTAGAAAATGCTGTGGGGGGAAAAAGAGGAAAGAGTTGATCATTATGCTGAAATGTCAAATTTTAACTAAAAAGAAATGTATAAAAATTTTTGCAGTATTTAACAAATATCAAAGAAAATCAGTGAAAATCAGGTAAAAAGGGCTATTGCAATGCATAAATTGCTAGATTCCACTATCCTGATTTTCACCACAGAGCCTCAGGGAGAACCAGTTGTCTTCTACACTGCTCAGAACAGTCCTCCAATTCAGTGAGGAAGTCTTGAGAAGTCGGCAAATAAGCTTTCCTTTCATATCTTCCCAATTTTCAAAAAATCAAAGAATTTATTGTAATTGGGATTAATGTTGTGTGGTGACTTCACCATGAATTCTTTCAAACCACTTGTCTAGAGTAATAATACAAGTCATTTCTCCCTGTTACGAGCTTTCCAGATATCACATTGCTTTTAGCGGCATATGAGGCCTTCCAGGATTCACCCCACCTCTCGAGTATTGTTTGTTGCCACTCCAGGAGTTGAACTTAATACTCCAAATTATCAATCTACATAGTTTTTCCCCCAAGAATTTTCTCACACTGACTCCTCTACACTAGCTTAACTGCTAACTTTACTTGGCGTGTCCCAGGAGCTCCTTTAAGGACAAAAGCTGTATCCAATTCATCTTCAGAGCTTTAGCACCCAGCACAGTGCACGGCACCTTGTATTTAGCAAGTGTTTGCTGCACAGGATACATCATGATTACCTCAACTATAGTTCCCAAACCCATCCAAGGACTTTTTCTCAAGACTTCCAATTTGCTACAATATTTTTATTCTGATAAACTCTACCAATAATCAACACAAGCATTTTAGGGGATGATTTGAGTTTCCTCTCTAAATCAATTTACTGATGATGTTAGCCTCTGATGATCTTGTTGGTGCCAAATGGAAATCATGACTCAGGTAGCTAATGTCATAATAACAATCATCTGCTGCTACACTCACATTGAAGTCTGTTTCAGTTGTAAACAGAGAATGTTTCTTTTGCAGTGATAACGGAAAGACATTTTCATGGACTAAGACTTAAATTTTTAAATCTATGCATAATGAAGACTTTTGACATAAGGAAGCTGACATGGCCAATGAAGTAATGCACGATGTTCATGACAGGCACCACAGGAAAAGAAAAGAGGACATGGCGTATATACAATACATTTGTACTAAGTGATGGCCAAAGGAGCCATATTAGGCTGATCAAATTTTACAGTTGTTTTAGGAAAGCAATATGGTAGAAGAATTGACCAACAGTAATATATAAATATACAAACTTCAAACTCAAAAGGCCTGAAGTCTGTACCATATTTGTGTCATAAGCAGTAACTTACTTTCAAAAAATTAAGACTAGCTATCATTTTAAATTTAGAGTATATATGAAAATGGATGTGTACTTTTGTTTGTACTTGATTTGTTTTATAAGAACTAGAAGCACAAGGAATATATACTTAGTTTTGTGTTTGTAAATAATGTACCAAAAAATTATTTAGGTCAACATTGGTAGGAAACCTTTGAGAATTCAGTACCTTATTTAACTACACACTGAGGACCTTGTAGTTAATGACAGATTGCAAGGTAAAACCAACCTGTCCCACAATGTTCTTTATAGTAGCCTCTGTTGGAGATCTTTTTATATAATAAAACAAAAGCCACACACTGTTAATCATAGTGCCTACAGTCAAAATGCAACAAAACAAAAACAAACTCAAAAAACCTCCAAAACATACCATGATAAATATTACTTTCCTGTCATCTAATTTGGTTGTTAACCATTAAACACTACCTGTCAGATCCTGTGCTAAGTACTTGACATCCATCATGTCATTTGTCCCCACATAACCCTGTGAGATAGGTACTAACACCTCCATTTCACAGATGGGCATCTGAGGCTGGGTGTGATTAAGCAACTTGTTAAAAGATCACGTCGCTATTAAGTGGTGGTCAAAGAGTATCAAGTTTCAGTTATGCAAGAGGAATAAGTTTCAGAAATCTGCTGTACAACATTGTGCCTAGGGTTAACAATATTGTATTGTGTACTTAAATATCTGTTAAGAGGATAGATCTCATTAAGTGAGATCTTACTATAATAGTCATAATAATAATAATAAAGGTCACACAGCTAGGAAGTGGCAGAACCGAGATCTGAACCCAGGTCTGTCAGACCCATGCTCTTATCCGCTATACTAGTTTGTCTTTATTTTAGTTTCTTAATGTGGTTCAAAAAGGGAAAACCTTAATCATGCTAACATAACATAGCACAGGAAAACAAAGTATGCTATTCCTAACAACGGTACTTATGACACCTATTTATTCCCTTCAAAAACAGATCTATTAATGAAGCTGAGTATAAAGACTGAAGTTTCTTTAATCCCATTTTTATAGAAATTAAATGACCTGCCCAAGGTCACAAGGCTAGGTGGTGCCAGAGCCAGGATAAGAAACTGGACATCCTGACATTTCACTTAGTGCTCTGCCCACGCCACTCTGCTACCTCCTTTAGAAACTACCAGCTCAAAAGCACCATTTAGGCACCATTCTCAGGGAATGAATGCAATGATCCCACTGAGATGACTAATCATGCACTATGATTAGATTCACATGCTATTTTGTTGCACAACAACTGATCTGAGATTCTGTTTCACAACAGAAAGCATCTTCCTGACCACACATATCCTCAGCTAGGGCAACAATAAAATGCTGCAGTGCTGCTGCCATCTGCAGGCATTATGGGTATTATGTAGGCCACATTTCATCTTCAGGTTTGCTTTTTTTTTTGGTGAGGAAGATTTGCCCTGAGTATCTGTCAATTCTACTTTCTGCTTTGGTGCTCCTTATTCTTTTCTTTCCTACATTAAGTTATGCTACCCCCAAATGCTTACTGAAATAATCAAATCTAAAAGTGATATCTGACATAGCATTTGTCAAAAACAGTTTTCATCACCATATATGTTTATATCAAAAAGAAATGAGGCTTCCAATATCACATAATGCAAAGTGAATGTGGATATAATACCACATAGCACTTTGATTACATGGCAAATTTTACAAATAGGACACAAAGGCATATAGTTAATTTTAAATCCAGTTAATATGTGCATTTCAAGTTGTGCGTATAAAACGTACCACTATTAAGCCACTTTTAGTAAGTATTGATTAGTTAAATTCTTTAATAAGGAACATTCCCCAAAGTATTAAGATTCCAAATATACTCAACTCAAATCATCCTTAGTGAATAACAGACAACCAGGACAGACATCAGTTATCTCTGGATCAAACCAGGTACTTACTTTGATTCTGTGTGGGTTTTGACTGATTGGAAAGGTCTTCATTTTCTATATAAAAATAAACAAATAAAAGTTGATTTCAAGCTTTACCAAATTATTCACCACCATAATAATCAGAAATTGGGGTCAAAAAAAGAAAACTCCAGGATATGCATGTATATACTATGTTAGGAAAAATAACATATACCTATGGCAAAAAAAGGAAATAAACAAAAATCACAGTAGTAACTATACGAAGATTTACAGGATTATGAGCAATTGATCCCCACCAACCTCCCACTGACTGCTCCTTAACATAGCACGTTTTAAAGAAACATCGTTATTTTATAGATATATTTAAGAACACTTTCTGGAAAGATGATGGCCTAAGCGTGGCATCCAGGAGAAAGCGTAGCCTGCACCTGGAGTGGAGAGAGGAACCACTGTCGTTGGCTAGGCTGACAGTTACCTCTGGGCAACACTACAACAGTGGGAAGACTTGGAAGCAGGAGGTGGATGCTGAGTGCAGAATCCACTGCCATCTGAGGGACCAATCTTGTAAGCCATTGTGGATCACCCAAGCAAACAGAAAGAAAGTGGCCCTCCCCACTTGTTGCACTCACTTCTGAAAAAGGTCCTAGGCTAGAAGCTGTCAAGGAGAACTACCCTACTTGAGGCTGACTCGAGGCCTGTGAGACTGACAAGCTAAAGTGTGCTCTTCCCCACCCACATGGGAAAGGACCTGTCCAACCAGACCATTAGTCAAAGACACAACAGAAAAATGACCTCTTGTGGCTTGACAATAACTGCCTAAGAAAGCAGTGCGACAAGCATAAGGTGCACAGGGAACCCTCCAGCCTGACATGGTGAGCACAGAAAGATCATAGCTGGTGTAAGCAACTTAGTACAAATGAACAACCAGAACGGATGGTGTCTATCAATGGAGAGTCAATAAAAGAGAAAGAACTTTAAAACTTGTGATGCAGATTAGGAACACAAACACACATAATACTGCAAGAAAGTAAGCAGAGCAGGTGAAGACTCCAGATAAAAGGATCCGACTCCAAATGAATAAATGCAAAGAATGGTGACAATCAGAATAATATTACTGACAGCTCACTTACTTAGTTGGAAATAAACAAAAAACTCCCATTTAAAATGGCAAAAATACAGAGAAGAATATTATAAATGAATAGGTAAGAGACTAAGAAGGTAAATACAGTACAAAAGAAGAGTGCCAGAAGGAGAAAAAAGAACAGATGAAAAAGTAATAAAGGAATAATAAAAACAAAACTTTCCTAAGCCTTAAAGACTTGAGTTTTCATATCCAAAGGGCTTACAGAGTTCTAGGAAAGACTAATGATAAGATAGACCCCTAGCACCCTGGTGCAATATCTGAACTCCAAGATTTAAAGACATTTCTGAACTCTAAAGATAGGAAGTATTTTCTTTGTAAGCTTATAGAAAAAGACCAAACTTCTAATAAAGAAAAGAAAATTAACTGGAATTGGGTTTCTCATCCACAACCCTACACATGTGCCCTTTTGGAAGAAATTATAGAGAAATTTTCTACTAAAAAAAAAATTAGAATGAGCATATCAGAATGGGGAATCAAAGAATAGAAGAAACAGTAAGAACCCATATAAGTTTAGAAGCACAGAAGAAAAAATGTGTAGTATTCCAACAAAACACACAAATTGATGAAAAAGGAGAGGAGGTATGGAAGTCAAAAAGTGGAGAACAGAACAGCTTTCTTTAGTTTTTTGTACACTGACAACTATTAAGAATATGAAGATAATCACTAGCAATATTAAAGATAAAATTTCTAAGTTTGGGTGGGGGCAAAGAGAGAGAAGAGTTGTTACAAAATAAAACAGCAATTTGACTAATGGAAGTAAACAAAAGTAAGGAAAATGAAAAACTAGGATAAAAGAATAATAACGAATACAAAAATAAAACGGAGGGGATAAGAACAAACATGTAATTTTTATGATTATTGGAAATTCCTATTAAGTCTCTCCTCACTGGTTTAGAAAGCAGCATCCAGCTATAAATATAATTTACAAACCAACTAGCCTACCAAATAAAACCCTAAAATGAAAGCAAAAAGGGGTTAGGACAATATTAATAGCCAATAAGGTCAAGAAAAAAAGAAACATTTTATAGTAAAGTATAACTCAGCTGATATTATTTTATAGCTAGAAAACTCAAGAGACTTTCAAGAAAAGAAAACTAGAATAGGTAATTAGTAATAAACACCTAGAAATGAAATACTCCATTTATAATTCTAACAAAAAATGCCTCTAAAATCCCTAGAGACAAACCTATGGCAAGGAACCTATATGAAGAAAACTATAAATCTTCTTTAAAGAGCTAAAATAACCCGGGGCGGGAAAGAGCAGGGAATACTGAAAAAGACTTAAGTATGGGGCCCAGCCCTGTGGTCAAGCAGTTAAAATTCCGCACGCTCTGTTTTGGCAGCCTGGGATTGTGGGCTTGGATCCCGGGCATGGACCTACTCCACTCACCAACCACACTTGTGGAGGTGTCCCATGTACAAAAAAATAGAGGAAGGTTGGCACAGATGTTAGCTCAGCTCTAATTTTCCTCAAGCAAAAGACAGAAAAGAGGAGGACTGGCAATGGATGTTAGCTGAGGGCGAATCTTCCTTAACAAAAAAACAAAAACATAAGTATGATTGAATGGTAAGATTTAATATCATAGAGTGTCAATTCTCCCCAAATTACTATATAAGTATATATACTTAAATTCAACGGTTTCAAATGATCTTAAAGTTCAGATCAAAGAATGAATTTCCAAAAGTAGATAAGAAAAATATTACAATATAGTGAGAGAAAGCTTGCCTTATCAGATATCAGAACACAGTATAAATCTGCCAATCAAATCAATATGTTATCACCACAACATAAAATAACTAGATTGGAATAGAATAAAAAACCCAGAATTAGAATCATGTGTGTATATGAAAACTTAAGATAAACGTACTTTTTCAAATCAGTGGAAAAAATAGATTAATAAATGGTGCTAGTAAGACTGGCTATCTGAAAAAAAAATTATGATGAACCTCTATTTCACCCCTATAGGAAAATAAATTCCAGGTGGAATAGGAGTCTCACAAGCTCTAACTTACCTAGACTACCTAGGGTTAAGAAGATCTGAATCAAGCTAACACGGTTCTAGCTTTTTTTTTATAGTCTCTATTCGACTATGCAAAAGATGTAAAACTCTAAGGGCAAAAGGTACCACGAACAAGGGCAAGAAATAAAAGGATAAATTTTGGAAAAGATATTTTGCAACTCTTATCAGAGTATGCAGCTGCAAACTACAGAACCACTCTGGCTGGTAAAACAGAAAAAGAATTTATTAAATGCTATTGAGTAATTGAGTTCCTAGGAAGGGGAGCAAAAAAAAAAACTCAAGTTCTATCCCTAATTTACACACATACAAAAATAAATGGCAAGTAGATTAAAAGCTATACATTAAAAAAAAAATCACTATAAAAGTAACTAGAGAATATAGACGATATTTCCATACTGGATGGGGCAGGGTTTCCTAAGCAAGACATACAAAACTCAGAAGAATCAGAGCTGGTCCTGACGGCCTAGTGGTTAAAGTTTGGCGTGCTTCCCTTTGGCAGCCCAGGCCCAATTCCCAGAGGTGGAACCACATCACTTGTCCCAGTAGCCACGCTGCGGCAGCACTCACATAGAAGAACTAGAAGGACCTACAACTAGAAGATACAACAGAAGGTACTTGGGCTTTGGGGAGAAAAAAAAGAGGAAGATTGGCAACAAATGTCAGCTCAGGGTGAATCTTTCCCAGCCAAAAAAACCCCCAAAAAACAAGAAAGCAAAAAAACCACAAAACTCAGAAGAATCAAATACACAATAACTGATCAAAATAAAAATTAAACTTTTATAAAAGACACACAAATGAAAATGTAAGCTAAATCAGCCTTATCAGATGGGCAAAAGTTAAAGAACTGATAATATCCCATGTTGAAAGGGTGTGAACAAACTATACGCTCGTACACTCTCACTGGCAGCTATAAACTGGTACAGTCTTTTTGGAGAACAGTTTGGCAACATACAGAAAAATATTTATACTTCATATCCCATGTTCCCGATATACCCAAGAAACAGGCTGAAGTGGAAAGTGCCAGGGAAGGGTTTAAGTCCTTCTGAGCACCTTCTGACGAGCTTTTCCTCCCCATGGTAGGAGTAATTTGCCCAAATGGTGACATTCATTAAGTCAACCATACTTCTCCATAGCGTGTCAAAACTCCCTGCTCATGAGAAATAGTTCTTATTTCTACAACCTGCTCATGTTCACACGTGTGGGCCTAGGCCGCTCTAGTGGAACCTGTGTAGCACACTCAGATCCACCATCAGGCTTCCTCTATTAGGACACACCATGTCAAACAACTGTCCCCTCCAAGTGTACATTTGTGGATGAATAAGTTATTTACTTTTAACACCCCATAATAACATGGTTTTACCTGTTCCTACTGGATTAGGAGTATATGGAGGTGGAGGGGGTACACCTGGAGCTATGACACTGGCTAATGGTACCAGACCTGCATTGTTATAAGCACCTAAAATAAAAATATAACAGAAAAAAATATATAATTTAGTATCATCCTGTGGCTAGGAGTTCAAACTGTATTAATGCAACTACCTGATTTATGTTTAAAACTGTTATATAAGAGTTGTATTTTACACGGAGGTTTGGGTCTAGGGTCAGGTGAAAACAAAGATCCAATGAGACTCCTGGAGATTCCCGTTTCCCACTGCAAGCTCATTGCAGGCATAAGCTCAGTGAATGGCATGGCAGGCAGAACCTGCCATACTTACACTGTTTGTCCTCTCTGTCAAGCACACCCACTTGATCTTTTTACGTTAAATGCATTAATGATATCTTTGAACATCAACTCCCAGAACAGGATTCAAGATGATTTACCAAAGCAAAAACCCATAATAGTAAATAATGCTTAAAAATAATCTATAATTAATTTATCAAAAGGAAAATATCCTAAATAAACTTTATCTGCTGTAATGTTGTAGACCAAGACACTAGCAGCTGACTGTGTGCAAAATTAAACTCATCATAGCATACTTCATAAGTGCTCCAGGTCTCCCAAGTACATATACCAACATTTACTTTCAATTTAATAAAGAAAGAGCAAAAAGAAAAATAGCAAAAATGGAAAAGCTTACTTGGTGCAATGGTTGCGTGTGGCCGGCATGGAGGTATTGGATAGGGAACAGGTTTATGTGGATTGTATGTTGAAGGAGGCTAGATGAGGAGGGAGGTACAGCAGTTACAAGAAAATCAAGTAAGTGGTCTCCTGGCAAAACCAAGTACAACTTGTCTTTCAAAACATTTAGTCCTAAGAGGCTAAAAATGCCCGAGCATATCAAATGCTACTGGACTAACACATGGCAAATGAGGGAAATTTCTTTGCTTTAACCAATGTATTTTCTATAAATTTCAGTGGTAGATCCTGCCAAAGACTGTTGTGGAGGTGTTTATTTTTTATTTCAGCATTAAATCATCTCCAGTGAAGGGTCAGACCTCATCCTAGACAGCGTACTGCTCTCTGAACCAGCCTAGGTTAATCCAAGAATTGCTACCTCTTCCCATGTCACACAAGAAATCTGCTAGGCGTTGGAATTCAACATTCTGACAACTCTAGTAGAATGTAGATTGGAACTATGAATCCGGTATTTTAGTCTTCTTGCCTTTTGAAAGCCACAAATCTTATTTCATAGTTGACGGAACTTATACAAGTAACACAGAGCATTCAAACAATTGGTCTCTAGAGAACCAGAGATTGCCGAAGTAACACCAAACACTGTAATTTTATCTAGAGAGAGAGCATGTGCCTGCTGGAGGGAGTGTGCACTCATGCCCTCAAGGCAGAGGGGAGCCACTGGTGGTAAAGGATCCGGATTCTTTGTAGCTCTCATAATGGTGGCCCTGTATGATGTATTAGCCTGGTGCAAGGACTATGATCTGTGACTTTTTTGCTATAAGCAACTGCCACTGGAGCTCCTGTCAGTGGACAGGCAGGGACTGCAAGATGGCTGTGTGGAGGCCTCAAGTACTTCAACACCAACAATCCTTCAACTCACGGGGCTGTCTTCTGTTCCATTTGTATTCCAATCAGTCATCATAATCACTCCCTTGAAAATACTCTCATCCTCCCACTCCATTCTTTTACTAATACTATTTCACTAATACTAATTTGGCCAAATTACAACCTTAGTTAAAGTGCTCTCCATACTCCATACCTCCAAGAGAACAGCTGAATGTGGCTGGAGAAAAAAATAAAAACAATTTGACTGGTCTCATCTTAAAATAAAACATTAAACCTCAAAAGGCCCTGAATGCTCTTAACTAATTATAGTCTATTTTCCTAGACCATTCACTCTCCTAGAGTTTCTCGTATACTTTGAACTTTACAACACCAAACCAGAATTCATATTTTGAACAGACAGAAAGCTACATGGAAGAGTTAAGAACTGTTTCATGATTTATTTTCTAACATACCGGTTTGGAGGGTCCAAGAATCCGTGCAGCTATTCCTTTGCCTTCATTGGTACAGTCTTCACCATCTTTTTTCAAAGGAGTCCCCTATTTAAAAAGTAAAGAAAAAGAAAGAAAGAGAATTGAGACTTTTTTAAAAACCCCAAAGTGAAAATAAAACAAAAACACTCCTTACTGTGTTACACTGAAGAAAAGGACTTAACTTGGTAGGAGTTTATGCACTTGGACTCCAGACTCAATTGTGCGCTGGGCGCATGACCCTGACAAGGGCTGAGGAAGGCTCGTCTGCCGTAGGCCCCTCAGAACTTGCACAGGGGCACTCAGAAGGAAACACGCAATACACATGGGGACGACACAAGGGCAGGACAAGGTATGTTCTCATTTTTTTCCCACCACAATAGGAGCAACCAGAAATAGACTTCCAATGCTACAGTATGTCTAATGCTCAGAGTCAGAAAGAGTACCTGTATTACAGTTGAAAACAGACAAGAAAAAACAGTGTTCTCTATAAGCATTATGTGTGATAGTTTATACTGTACGAAGGCAAATGAGACCTCATTCAAGACTGCTATAATTAACAGATCAGAATAAGTTGACTGGGACCGGCCCTGTGGCCGAGTGGTTAAGTTTGCACACCCTGCTTCGGCAGCCCAGGGTTTCACCAGTTCGGATCCTGAGCACAGACACGGCACTGCTCAGCAAGCCATGCTGAGGTGGCGTCCCACATGACACAACTAGAAGGAGCCACAACTGAAAATATGCAGCTGTGTACCAGGGGGCTTTGGGGAGAAAAAGGAATAAATAAAATCCTTAAAAAAAAAAAAAAGAATAAGTTGACAGACTATTACAATGCATCTCCCTAATAGTGTGTGTCCCTTAACATACACACTAGTATGGAAGCCAACTTCCAAGATAGTCCCCAGTGATCCTCACCTTCTACATGCCCTTATATGGTCACCTTCCAGAGGGAATAGGGCTGACCTGTGTAACAAATAGGAAATTCCAAAAATGACGGCATTTGACTTTCAAAGCTAAGTCAGAAGAGAAGACAGTTTCTGCTTGCCTTCTCCTGGATTATTTGCCCTGGTGGACGGCAGCTGCCATAGCATGAGGTACTCAACAGCACTGTGGAAGAGTCCTCATGGTGAGGAACACAGACCCCCTGCCAACGACCACCACTAACTTGCCAGGCATGTAAGTGAGCCACCTCAGATGCACAGTCCTGAGCGCCAATGAACCCTTAAGATGGGTGCAGCCTCACGAGAAACCCTGAGCCAGAACCAAACTAAACCTCTCTCAGATTCCTGACTCACAGAAACTGTACAAGATAATCAGAGTTTATTGTTTTAATGCACTAAGTTTTAGGGTTATTTGTTACATCACAATAAAAATATAACATTCTTTGAAAAAGTTATTTTGCAAAGAAGTTTGAGGAACACTGGATGGTACAAAAGCAAGTTTCCTTCTTACAGGACTTCTCAGAGCCTTTATTATGCAACATGATTCTCTAGGGAGGAAACACTGCATGCAGTCTCCCAAACATACTTAAACATACTTAACTATGAAGCTGTCTGAGGAATACTGAGAATTTGAGAAATGCACCTTTACTAAATGTAAATCAGTGCTTCTAAAATACAAAAAGAAAACAATCATCCTCTTTTATGTTTGGCTTGTTCTTCTGTACATTTCACACAAATACCTTAATGTAGTTTATACATGAACTTTCAATCAATGGTGATTCTGTGAATTAAGTTGCTAATATAATAAAATTTCTTTCCTTTGTAGAAGCATCATCAACTGGCATTTTCTTTAAATATCATTACTATGACAAATTTCATATTTAGCCACAAGAAGTTTCATAAATAGCCATAAAAGTATGCTTACTGGGAAAATTCCATTTATGCGACTAGGTCTTCCTTTGGGATATGGATTTCCTGGGATTGTTCCACAAGATGAGATCATGGCATGAGGAGCTTTGCAGCCCCCCTTGAAAGCCTGTAACATAAAAAAGAGGAGGGGGCTAAAAATCAAATAAACTCATAAAGTTAAGTACTCTGGATATTGGGAAGCCCTGCTAAAAAAACATGAATTAATAGCATCACACTCAATCTGTTCATATATCAATCAGCACTTACAGTGGTGAATATGCCCCAATTAGTAGGTAAAATCACTTTATTTAAATGAAATTATCAAAATTGTAACATGTTTTTAACGTCACAACTAACAGACTCCTATACAAAGGTATTTTCACAGTGGATTTTGTAAACTGTGTGCAAAAAAGTCCATTTACTATTTATTATGTCCCATTTCTCCAAAGACCAAGAAATACCATTGTCCAACTCTACAAACACCGAGCTCATGTCATGGGCAAGGCAAAAAGAGGACAGAGATGAAAGAGATGTGGTCTCTGCTTTGAAAAAGTTTATAACTTAGTGGAGAAAATACAAACAAACAAATAACAGGAGATGTTGGGTGTCTAAGAGCTGTGCTGTTGAAAAAGCAAGAGTTATCTGGGTATATGGTGTTCCACATAATGACGACACGTATTGAGGGATGGGACTGTGGTCCAACTTGTTTATTATTGCATCCCCAGATTCTAAAATGGTGCCTAACACATATTGACTTAGTGCTCACTAAATATTTATTCAATGAAGGAAAACACTATAACAGGTGACATACATTCCAGTAGATCTATATTATATTATACGAATATCAAGTTATGTCTACATAGCTATATTTTACAAGCATGTATGTTTTATATTTTGTTGTAGAGCTATACTGGTTTTATAAATTCATTCAAGACACACATAACTAGCTATATAATCCAGCCCCCTACTAAATGCTCCAACCCTAAAGATCATCTCGATTTTGGCTATTATAAATAGCACCAGGGTGAATGCCTATATATAGGAATAAGTATATTTCTATTTGTTTCCTTAGAATAAATTTCTGGAAACAGAATTTTTGTGTCAAAAGATATGAACATTTTAAAAGCTCTTCAAGCTTACCTCCCAGAAAAGCTGCACTAATGTACATTGACCAAAGGGCCCATTCCACAGAACACTCAGGCCTAGATTATTTCTGAGAAGGGAAGTGACATGATCAGAATGTTTTATAAGGAAGAAAACTACAGCAGTCAATGCATGATGCCTTAAAGAATTCAGTCAAGAAAATCAATGAAGAAGTTACTCAAGTAAAGAAACGTGGGCTCACATCCTGCTTCGGCTACAATAACTCAGGACTAAAGCAAAGTTCTCTCCTCTCCCTGAGCTGAGTGGAGGGCGTGAGGATTAGAAACGAGTGGGCTGCAAGGCCCCGGGAGAGCAGTCTGTTTTCCTCAAGCAGGTTTCCAATTACTAATTCAGTTTCCAGCCACCACAATCCTGAGAAACAACTACTTTAAATGACAAATCAAGTTTTCTAAGCTTGGACAAGGACTATTTCTCTCACTCAGAGATTTTAAATAAACTGGATTTTTGCTTTATTACTCATCTCTTACGAATTTGATTAACATAAGCCTGAAGACAAAGAAAATTTTAAAAGTTCCTAAACACATAAAATTAAAGACAAAAGTTTGCAGCCAGGGCAGTTACCAAGGGACAGAGAATAAACACTGCATGAGTCTCAAGCTGAGTGGCAAACTGGCTTCGCACTCTCAAGCCATCTCTTCATCCTCCAGCATCCCCTTCACCCAGCTCTGCTCCTCCTCCATAGATGGCAGGGATGTCATTTTGAACCCATCGCATAACAGCAGTCAGGTTATTCATCAAAGTTAATATAGGAGTAAGATTGGTACATTTTTTCTTCATCAACATTCAGAAAAACCAATGTACCATTTATATAGAAATCTTGAGAAAATTACCTGTTCAAGTACTCTCTTGCACCGTTTCTTCTCAGACATATTGATCCTGAATAAATCTTCAATGGGACGAGAATTCTGTGCATCAACAATGTTCCTACCGAGGAAATAAAATTTAGCTTTTCATTTAAGAAACTGAACATACATACAGAGGCCAACAACTTTTGTTTATCTATAAATATATTTGAATCAGGTTTTCCCCATGACATAAGAAGCGAAGTATGATTATTTACTCTTAATTGGTGAATGTAAACAACATGCTTATATAAAAATGGTAAATACAATAATTGAACTGAGGTTTATCTGGTTACCTGCAAGTAACAAAAGTAATACTATAAATAAAAATCAATACTTTGAGATTTTTGAAAATACACCCTCTCAATGAGTGTTAGGAGAACTATGGCATTAGAACAAATCCAGGTGTTAAATGCAGAAAAATCACGGTTGATCTAAAAATGAAGTTTTATCTTTTGCTTTATTCTGTGTTTTTGTGGACATCTATAAATATATATGTATAAATATATAAGGGACTTAAAAATGCATGTGCTATAAAGAAACAGCAATTTACAGACTCTTCCATTCTGCAGAAGAGCAGGTTCCGTTCCTCTTTGAGCTTATGCTCATTCCAGCCACTTATTAAATGCTGTGACGGGTACTTTCACATATCTTACTGTATTTTAAATTCACATACCCTACTAAATAGGTGAGATTCTTACTTTTACAATTGAGGAAAATAAGGTCTAGAAAGAATAAGTACATATTAAGCCAAAATATATGTTGTCAGAATGTGGCAGAACCCATCTAACTCTAAGACCTATGGCTTTATCAAGAAGCCTTTCAAGTTATTCAGAGTAGGATGGCAAAGCAAGTCACTGAAATGCAGACAAATCAAAATAGATTATCTCGATAAGCCCCATTATTTTGTAAGCAATAACCATGTGTAATAAGTACACTAGATATTTAGATATAAGAATTTAGCTCTATGCTCTCATAGATTTTATTAGAGTTCCATTCATTAATATAATTCTGACATATTAACACACACTAATGAGTTACAAGACATTTAAAAAGTCTTCCAAATTTTCTTCAGTAAAGTAAAAAGAAAAAGAATTACTTACGAAGCCAATAGTTCAAGAGCAACTAGTTTGTCTTTACTGAAGGTGAAACAGTTGAGTATATTGACCACTTCTGCTGGGTGAACAGCCACCATTTTCTATTAAAATAAAAACAATTTTATTTTCAACATGAGAAATTTTCATGCCAGAAATTTCCTTTTTATGGGAATTATAGTTAAATGTTCTTAATATAAATATTTGAGGTGAAAACTGTTTACTCAAAAGTAAGCCCTAACATGGGGCTGGCCCCGTGGCCGAGTGGTTAAGTTCGTGCGCTCCGCTACAGGCGGCCCAGTGTTTTGTTAGTTCGAATCCTGGGCGCGGACATGGCACTGCTCATCAGACCACGCTGAGGCAGCGTCCCACATGCCACAACTAGAAGAACCCACAATGAAGAATACACAACTATGTAGCGGGGGGCTTTGGGGAGAAAAAGGGAAAAAAAAAAGTAAGCCCTAACAACTATGTGAATCAAACTTAGGCTTTTTCAAGGTTAACTATTTCACCTGAAGACCTAAGTTCTCCTATATGCTCTTTTTTTATCCACATTTCTCAATGTTTTCATCTACAGGGAAAAAAAAATATTTACATGTACTACTTTCCTCAGAAAGGTTATAGAGAAAGTGGATATTTACAAATATGGGAAATATGCCACTTGAGAAGTCAGGAAAAATGACATTCCTCAGTTAGCGTGCTGGGTATGCCATAATCAGGATCTCCCACAGTGAGGTCCACAGTGAATAGTGTTACTATGAAAGGGTACTACACTCACATCAGTTAGCGGAAAGATGGGTTAAACAGGTTTCTTTACTGCAGAACTTTCTTAAGAGTCCTCTGTTAACGTGCGTTGTGGCACTCCAAGATTCCGCGGAACATTACATAATTTACTTGACTAGGGTACATTTATTTTTGACAAGCAGCTAGAAGATTTTGCCAATTTACAGATTTATGGTAACAGTGGTGGAAATTCAAAAGCAAAGTCACTGTAAGAAGATCAGTTAGGGGCCACGAGGGGTTAAGTACGCAGCTCCGCTTTTCGGTGGCCCAGGGTTTCACTGGTTCGGATCCTGGGCGTGGATGTGGCACCGCTCATCAGGCCATGTTGAGGTAGCATCCTACATGCCCCAACTAGAAGGACCCACAACTAGAATACATTCAACTATGTACTGAGGGGCTTTGAGGAGAAGAAGGAAAAAAAAAGAGGAAGACTGGCAACACATGTTTGCTCAGGACCACTCTTAAAAAAAAAAAAAAAGATCAGTTAGAGTCAACACCCAATAGATTCTTAAAATTTGGAGCAGGGGTTTTCAAACGCTTACTCATGTACCACCAAAAGAATTGGTAAAACTATATATACCCTTTGCATGTTTTTAAATTGACATCTAAAAATTTTACTGGAAGTTTAAATATTTGCAAAAACTCGATTTCCTTATATACAAATTTATTATATATTTGTAAAAACCTTGGAACTACTGATTTAGCTCATTTAATTTATGAAAATTCTATTTTATAACCTAATTGTCAAAGTCAGTCTTTAGTGTGAAAACAATCAATCAACTTAATTCAAATAAATGCCTTAAGCTGTGCCTATTCTGGCCTTCAAACCTCTGAATTTTAATTCTAAGGTAAATGGACAGATGAACAGCCCTCAGAGCTCAGTCATGAGACTGCTTGATAAAACAAGGCAAGGTCCCCGTCAGTATTTCTTACAGAAGCTCTCTGCTTTGCTCTCCCTCAGGAGACTTCACTCTCTCTTTGGTCTTTGGGGAAAAATTTTCACCCCCAGGTTGTGGGTGGATAGGTGAGATAACTCTTTTTTTTTTTTTTAATAGAGTAGAAAAAAGCAATTACTGAAGAAGAGAGCACCAACAGACCCAGACACTTTCTTAGGCAAATCAGTTGAGGATGTTAAGGATCTGTAGATTCCCTTAAAGCTATCCATGCCTGATATTCCGAGGAAAATCTTTGTATATAGCCAGATCCTGTTTGACTTAGATGCCTGTTAATCCAGGCTCTAGAGCTGTGCTGTCCATACGGCAGCCACTAGGCACATGAGCCTGTTTAAATTAAAATTAAATAAAATTAAAAATATAGTTCCTCAGGCAGACTAGACACATTTTAGGCGCTCAGGAGCCACATGTAGTCAATGGTTACCATATTTGATAGTGCAGATACAAAACACTTCCACCATCGCTGAACGGTCATTTAGACAGTGTTGGTCTAAAGAATGTAAGTATAAACCTGTCTGACTATTCTTCTCAGACTAAATAGAAGAGAGTGAAGATATCTAAAAATAGAAAGAAGTACGTAAAAACACTTAAGAATCCAAATCCTATGTTTTGCTTGCCTATAAATATTTTCTCCTTCAATCTGCCAATTAGTCATGTGGTGACATGACATTATACCTTTCTAAGTTCCAAGCTGTAAGGGACATACTGAGACAGTAGGAAAACCTCCTGGGCCTCCCTACTCAATCCTAAAGAGAAGGAGAACAGAACTGTAACAGGATTTGACATTAATAGAAACTACATATAGAATTCCTGTAAACATAATCGGAGTTTCAGAACATCCCAAATTCAACCAAATTGTTGTTTTTAAGATTAAACATATCAGGGGCTGGCCCTGTGGCCAAGTGGTTAAGTTCGCATACTCCACTTCAATGGATCAGGGTTTCACTGGTTCGGGTCCTGAGCGCGGACCTAGCACCACTCATCAGGCCATGCTGAGGCGGCATCCCACATAGCAGAACCAGAAGGACCTGCAACTAGAATATACAACTACGTACTGGGTGGCCTAGGGGAGAAGAAGAAAAAAATTAAGAAATAAAAGAGATTGGCAACAGATGTTAGCTCAGCTGCCAATCTTAAAAAAAATAAAAGGGGGCTGGCCCCATGGCCGAGCAGTTAAGTTTGGGTGCTCCGTTGCAGGCGACCCAGTGTTTCATTGGTTCGAATCCTGGGCACGGACATGGCACTGCTCATCAAACCATGCTGAGGCAGCATCCCACATGCCAGAACTAGAAGGACCCACAACGAAGAATATACAACTATGTACTGGGGGGCTTTGTGAGAAAAAGGAAAAAAATAAAATCTTTAAAAAAAAAATAAAGATTAAACGTTATCAGACATTACTTATTGGTATACAATCCAATAGTATAGTACATACAATTTAAATTTACCGGGTGGGAATTTTTAATTTTTTAACAGTTTTTTTGAATAATCAAAGTATAACGAAATTTAGAGTCATTTTTCCTAATGCAAACAAAATTCCAACTTGAGATGAATTATGGAAAACTATGGGAGAATTCAACATACTTAAATTCTACATTCCAAGAAAAATAAAATTACTTACATGCTGTAATGCTTTCATGGCCTTCAACTGAGGCTCAGCCCAGGAGAAATATCTCAGTAAATCAACCACCTGAAAGCAAAGAACTAATTTATTTATAATGGCAATCTGTTTGCAAACATTTCTAAAAGATTTACTTCAGTACTTTGAATTACTATTCAAAATGCGTTGTGTGGGCCCAGACGATGAGGGATAAACATGGCACCAGAGTTTACACTGTGCTGACAGAGTAGCCAGCTACAGCTACTTAAATTGAAATCAAGGCAAATAAAAAATTCAGTTCCTCACTGGCACAAGCCACATTTTTAAGTGCTCAACAGCCATCTGAAGCTACTAGCTACCATAATGGATAGTGCAGACAGAGAATTTCCATCATCACAGTCTTGGACAGCACTGGTCTAGAAATAAAGGAAAATGAAAGGTACAGGAAAAAGAAAGTACCTAAAGAAAATAAAGGTTGCAAAAGTACTAGATGGAGATAAAATGTCAGCTTAGGAATATAAAGGACTACTTTTTTTAGACACTGCATTTTAAAATCATGTATATGATATTGTGGTGAGAGTGGGTATGTTTATAAAATACCCAAGCTATAAATTCTGTAAAGTTTTCTACCCAAGCCGAAAGCTTCTAAAGTACCTAAATAAAAACAGCAACAAAGTAAGAGCAATTCTGAACTTGACCACCAACAGACATTAACCAGAACATTGGTGTTAAAAAAAAAAGACTCTTGTTTAAACAAATAGAAGAATACCTGTTCACTAGAAAAATATCCGTGCACATATTCAATTGCTTTTAATTTGTACTCTGTCAAAACAGCCTAAAAAACATAGAAAAACAGCATTAATACATGTAAACAGAACAGTAAAATGCATACATCAGAACTACCTAAGCAATTCAAACACTGGCAGACATTCTTCAGCCCTGCATGGAGAGGCAGCTAAAGTCACTGTGGTGACATGACATTCTAGGTCCCATGGTGTAAGGGATAGACTGAGACAGCAGGAAAACCTCCTGGGCCTCCCTATTCACTCCTACAAAGAAAGGGAATTGAACTGCAATAGATAAGATTTGACATTAATAGAAATTACATATAGAATTACTGTAAATGTAGATAGTCTCCGAATATCCCAAATTAAACCAAATTGCCATTTTTAAGATTAAATGTATGACATTACTCATTCATCAGACAATTATTTACTGAGCACCTATTATGTGCTAAGTGGCAGAGAAACATAAGACAAGGTCTGGTTGAGGCTCTCAGTATTTCTACAAGGATATGAGAACCAAAGGAGCCAGAGAGGCCCTGAACTCACTGTATGCCTGCCACTAACTGGCACTGGGGCCCTTGAGAGGCATTTTAATTACCCTCAGAACCTCCTGACATAAAAGGGAATATCATTCATTACCGGCCTCAGAGTTACTGTGAGGATTAAGAATCAAGAGTAGATCTGACACATAAGAGGTATTTGGTAAATGCTGGTTCCTTTCCTCACAGGGCCTCCATCAGTGGGAAGTTCAGGGAGTTCGGTGGCCTTGACCCAGCCCTGTCTAGAGCCTGAAATCACACATGCTCTCCTGGCAACTACTCGCCAAACTTAGAGATGGACACATCAGACTATCACGATTCGGTAACTATTAATCATTAAAAATCAACTAATCCCTTTCCTTTTACTACAAAACAATGATAACTGTACCTTCCACATACATCATTCTGCCAGCAGAAAATACTATAAGAAGGCAATGGAGAAAAACATCCAGGGTGCTCAGCAGTTTCACTGAAAAAGGGGGGGAAATGGCATTCTGGATAATGTACTCTTGGGAGTTTACCATTATCATTATTGGAAACAGTCAAAAGCAAGTTTCTGGACCAGATCCTGGATTGTGTTGATGCCAAGTCATTCTCAATTGTTTCACCAGTGCCTCAGGCGTCCAGCTGTATTCCCAGGCACAAGAGCAGGCACTCTGGAGTCAGACTGCCTGAGTTTGAATATTTACCAGCTGGGTAACCTTGGGCTGGCTAGTTAACCTCACAGACTAGATGTGCCATCTGTAAAATGAGGAGTATGGAACCTACACCTCATGGGTTGTTAGGAGGATCAAATCAAATAATGCAGGGAGAAAGCGCTTAGAACAGGCATACACAGCAAGTGCTCAATAGTTACTGGCCATTATAATTACCTTCTGTTTGAAGAGCAAATTCAACATTGCCTTTTCCCCTTTCTTCCCCCTTCCTATTTCTTTTCCTAGTGTCTTCTTACATGCCCTTGCTTTAAATGACAGTAGTGACAGCCAGTATTAACTATGGACCTACGATGACATGCAGGAAGAGATTACTTGCTTTAAACTGACCTACATTTACAAAGTCTAAGAGCAATTTTTAAAAAACCAATAATTCTCATATTTAGATATGCCTATATTTTTATCTCATTTTAAAAGACTAAAATAATGATGCATCTAATTATTTGGCAGAAACAGCAAAAGACATTTTGATTGCAGACCAGAAATAAGGACTTAAGTTGCCATCTCGTGTGAACATGATTTTCATCTCTGGAAAATTTCTTGCTCTCCTTATTAGTATTTACTATGTGATCTTTTCACAGCTTAGAAGGGAGAAAATGTGCAAAGTGACACCCTGTATCTTCCAAAAGTAGAAATCTGGGTTACCTAAAGGCACAAATTATTTTCTTATAAACAGTAGTTAAATATCAGCTCATGAACAAATTTTGGCAAATTCTAAACACATTAGTAGCGAGCTGAGGTTTTATTGCAAATCTTAATTGGACAAACTGGGCTTGCAAGAGAAATTTTATTCAAAAAAGAACATTCAATATCGTCAAATACGTAAATTTGAAGCTAACGTGAATTTGAAAAAGCCTTTATAAAGGACTTAGAAAAACATTTTCCTTTATTACAGCGAAAGGAGAAAAACAGCATGTCCACAGGCAACTTTATTAATAATTTCATAAGCTGAAATAAATGAGCACCGGAGCACAAGGAACAAATCTTTCCGCATCAGTCTAGGGTCTTAAAGATATGCAAATGGCGAGATAATTGCCCGGAAGTTGTCAGCAAAGGACCCTGTACTAGCATAAGAAAGGAAGAGTAAAACCTTCCAGTCCTAATTAGATAAACTTTTATTTTTGTGCTGGAGGTACTTAGGCTCAAGGCTATATTCCAAAATTTTTTTCTGTCTGGTTCTTTCTGGGAGGTAGGCTACATATAACAGCCGCAAAAAGAAGCAAAAACTTGGAAAGCAAGAGAAAAAAAAGTTTTGAAATTCAAGTTATTGAAGTTCATTCCTAGGAATATGACTTTAAACTTAACGCTACATTTTACATTAGGATACTAATTTTGTCCGGTCCAAGCAACAAATATTGTCTGTCTATCCTCAGGTTTGAAAAGCTTGTCAGAATAATAACTACCATTATAAATAACCTTCTACGTATTGCCTCTAGTTTTCAGTCACTCTTGTGTTACCGAAAGATGAGGGAATCGGTTCAGAAATATTAAATCACTTATCCAAAAGGGCAGAGCTATTAAAGATTTATAGAGCCAGCTTCGGAACCGAGGACTCTCTGAATATAATTTCCACAATAGGGCACTACTAGTTCTCAGGAAGTTTAGAGTTAACTTAATTTCTATTTGTATCGTGAAATGTATCAAGATATCAGCTCCTACAGTATACGCCGAAATTCCAACCAATTTTGCAATCCTTAAACCTCTTTGTGGACAATCTGCACGCAGTCCCTCAAAGAGAATAAACCACGAGAATTCCTAGCGCATACAATGATTAACGGATTTAAGTGTAATTACCTTTCTAATTTCATCCAGCACCGTTTCAAAGGACTTTTTGTCCATCTTGACTACAATCTCGACGAGGTTTTAACAGCTACACTTTCAATTACAAAACGTTCATCCCTGGTCAGCTCTGATAGTAAAAATATTTAACAGCCGAGGAGGAAAATGACTCCAGGAGCAGGAGAAAGGATACGAAGAGGTAGAGAGTACTTCAAAGTCTGCAAAAATTCCTAAAAATGGACACTTACAAAAACTTTTATTAAAAATAAAAGCGTCAGGCTTCCCCAGCTTCTTTACACAAAGCTTCGGGACGCCTCGGGGAAGAGCCGGGTCCTCTAAGTCCCGCAGAGAAACCCGGGGTTCAGCAGCCGGTGCTGAGCGTCGGTCCCCTGCAGCTGAAGGCCAGGCGCCGCCAAGGGAACGTCTTGAAGCCGCTTTCCCGGGCGGAGTGGACGGGAGAGCAGAGGCACCTGCGCCTGAAGTCCTGCGGGCGTGAGAAGGGAGGTACCGGCCTCTCGACCCGCACCAGCGCCTCGACGGCTGGCCGCCGCCCCTCACCACCACAATCCTGGACTCATGGCCTGGCGCGCGCTCACCCCCAGTAGCTCCGCCAGACTCGTGGGTCGCGCGGCCCGGGCAGCGGCGGCCTGGCAGGCTCTTTGTTACCAGCTGCCACGGCTTCCGGGAGCGGGCCGGCGGCTGGAGAGCACCCGGAGCCGGGCGAAGTAGGGCACGGTCTCGGAGAGGGGAGCTCCCGAATACCGCAGGGCCAGCAGCGCCAAGAGCCCTTCTCGGTTACCCCTACAGTTCCCACCAGCTCATGGGGGTCCTGTAACGAAGCCCGTCGCGCCCGAGTAAACTCAACTCTGCGCTGCCAGCTTAGGCCACTCTTTCCTGAAAGCCAATGGAGGGGGTCCTGGTGTGGGAACGTAGGTATCCATGGAGGATGCCTGGATCCCTCGGAATCGGACACGGCTGAAATCTTTCCCAGAGCCTGGAAATCATTTTTTGAGGGTTACATCCCTATGTCTCTGGTTTGAGTGTGCTAGCTTCTGATTTTTCAAACTGAATTAAAAAAAAAAATGAATATCGAGTGGTTAAGGCATATCTACGGGCGCCCTTGTTTTGAGGGACAGGAGAAGTCCTCAGCGGGGACCGCCCCGAGGGGCGGGAGAATGTGGTCATTGGGTCAGCCAGAGGCACGTGACATGGGGGCGGAGACCGGGGAAGGCGCCAGGAGTACGGAACCAGGAGTTCTGAATTTCTGCGGGCTGGTCTGTGCTCCTTTTGGGTTCTCGAACCCGCACATCCAGGGAGGAGGGATTGAAGGTGGGAGCTTCTGGCCGGTCGGTTGGCCGACACTCTGGGCAGCAACGAACCGCTAGGACCTGAGCCTGCCTGGCGGCTCCCCGCCACCTGCGGACCCTCCTCCGTGTCCAGGCTTCCCGTCTTGTCATGGCGAAATTCTGGGTCTGCGCGGCCGGCGCGGGGCTTTTTCTTGCATGTCTGATCCTGCATTCGCGTTTCTGTGGCTCTCCGGTGAGTTGAGTAGTGAGGAAATGGCTGTCGGCTGTGTGGACAGCACTGTTAGGAGGGAACACCGCGGTCGTGGGATGGAGGTGGCGGGCCCTGGCTCCTGCACTACCTTCAGCCAAAAGCTGCACCGGGGGCCGAACCACCGACGTGTTGCCTTGTCTCTTAGTGTTAAAAAGTTTGTATCTGGTACATCTCCGTTTTCTTTATTTTCTCCTCTTCTCCAGCTCCCATTACATCCTCAACGAATTTGCAGATGTGTGTTGGGGTGGCCTTAGTGTTTAGACGTATAAGCCTATTTCTTCCGAATCGTTTCTGTCCAGCAGTCTGAACACCTCTGTGGCAGACGTCAAAGCATGCTTAAGAATCAGCCTTTTTTTCCTTTTTTTAACCTAGAGTGTAAACTGAAGCTTAATCTTCTGATTTTATTTAAGGTTTTAAGGAACTTTGCTTTTCAAGTTTCCTGGAGAACTGAGGAAATTCTTTACCGCCTGGATGTGGATTGGCCTGAGTATTCAGAATACTTTACTGGAGCAACGTTTGGTGTTGCCGTTGACTCCCTCAATGGATTGGTTTATGTAGCCCAAGTAAGTAAAATTGGGATATTTTTTAAAAATTATGAACAGGAAGGAAATAACAGCCTTTCTGTTTTACTGTACTAAGTAACCATCTATAACGGTTTATATAATGCCAGTTGTGGAATTTGTATTTTGAGTTGGTTTCAAGTAAAGTTTTTGGTTGTGAGTCTGATAGATGTTAATATCGTTAGGTTTTGAAGCTGGGTTTTTAAACATTACTGAATTTCTTGATTAACCTTTAATTTTTGTTTCTCTCTGTCAAGATAAAGATTAATTCCTTAAAACTGATTCTATCTAAGCAATTATTTTTGTATACCTTCAGAGAGGGGATAACATCCCAAAGGTGTTAGTGTTCACAGAGGACGGATGTTTCCTACGAGCCTGGAATTATACAGTTGACACACCTCATGGTATATTTGCAGCCAGTACACTACATGAACAATCCGTCTGGATCACAGATGTAGGAAGTGGTATGTGTAGTAACGTCTATTAAATTATCTTGCTAGAAATCACATCTTTGCCCATGTTCTTGCATGTACATTTTAACATCAAAGTTGCTGAATCTAATTGTAATTTCTTTAATGATTCATTAAATCACTTGTTTCTAAAAGTCTTTATATTGTACTTCTGTAGAGTTAAGACGTTTAACAAGGAAACTCTAATTGTTATGATCTTTCCTTTAGCTTGTCAAGGGACTTTTCCTCTTAAAGAATCACTTGCTCTTCCAAGATTAAAAAATTATAAACCTCTTCAATGAAGCCAAATAAAGTGTCAGTCTCTAAAAACGAATGAATGGAATCCTTGCCACTCATTTTCCTTTACCAGTTCTCTTTCAAAAGAGATTGTGCTAAGAAACCTGAACTGCTTTGTTGCCCACAATGGAAGATTTGCAGAAACTGCTGGTGTTAACTGCAGCGTGTCTGAAATCTTTGTTCCATCAAATAGTTTTAGTAGAATGTGCTGAAAAACAAAGTAAGCACAGTGGAATTTATAGCTGTGGAGATCAGTTTTTAGAGACAGCTGTTTGCATGTGCTTGTGGCTTAAGACAACACGGTACCAGAGATAACTTGGCATTATCTCAGGGTCTCAGGAAGCAATGGGATCATAAGGGTAATATTTCTAGTATTCCTTGGCTCAATTTTGTTTATGGCTTGAAGGACATCTTGTTTCCCCAGTTCTGGCTAATTCAGATAGCATTTTGGAATTAACAAGGTCTCAATTTTTGTAAGAAGTGCCATTACCACATCTGTTCTCAGAACCCTAAAGACTTCTGAGCATCAGCCAATATCCCATTTATTTCAAGCTGTATTTTGGATGGTAACATTCCAGTTAAACCCCAAAAATCTAGATTACCTATGAGTTCATTGTAATACTGTAAGGAAGTTTGACTATTTTCACTTCTTTTTTTTCAGGATTCAGTGTTAAAGCCCTTTACTTTTGATTTGTTCCATTCATGTGATCCTTTTTTTATAAAACACTTCAATGATTCCCAGGAATAAATAGAACACACATGATCTCTTCATTCTTTCCATTATGGCTCGTTTTTCCACACGCAGATCTGAAGACAGTTTTTGCATTTCTTCCCATTTTTCAAAGGAATAAGTTCCCTTTAATAAAAACTTGGCTACAAATCAGTCATTTTTAAAAAAACATTATTTACTAGCATTGTATTTTTTTGTGAATTTTGTAGAAACTTTGAAATTTACTTGCTTTAATAATGTTTTGTTATTGCTACAAACTTTAGCTCAAGCCTCTAAATCAGGTATAATAATAAATACAATTTTCAAGATGGAATTGTAATGCAAGCTGATTTACTTTATTTCCAGTAAACTCAGTGTATCCAGTTTATCTTTTAAATGTCTACCAGTTAGTTTGCTCTTGGTGTGCCTTCAAGATGATAGCTGTTAACTGCTTTATGGTTTTTCCCCATTCATTAATGTTCTACTTTATACTTTTGCTTGTAAGATTATTTTAACTCAAAGGAATTTTAGTGTAAGTGAGAAGATAAGTTACTAGTGATTTGAAAAGATTTATTCCCTTCTCAGGAAAGGAAAGTTAATGTGTTGAATTTTGAATTTATTTCCACTAGGAAATAAATATAGAAATTATAGTTTAAAAAATTATGTATTATAAAGAACTTATTTGCCGACATACTGAAATTTGAGATCTGCACATGAATGACTAAAATAACAGTTTTCAAATATGGATTGTTACTTTTCCATTTCTTTCTTGATTCCCTTTTACGAGTAATGCTTATTCAGGGTCTTAAGATTAAAAAAAGAAAGTAGTGTACCAATAATTTAATATCTTTCTGTATAAGCTTTCCGTATAAGGAGTCAATTTTTTTGGTTTTATTTATTTGAATTTAGAATCTACTTGGAGTATTTGAGCTTTTAATTCATGAACAGATTTGGCTGTAACTAATGAAGAAGCTCTATTGCTTGTTAAATATAACGTTTAATTATCTGAACCTACTAACTTTTTATTACTGTTTAATTCTATCAAATTTTTGTGCTCAACTTACCTGGAAAATGTGAATGTTTATACAGTGGTTATATTTCTGAAATGTGCATGTCTGTCTTTGTAGGATCCTACGGTCATACTATCAAAAAGTACAATTCCTTTGGTGATCTTGTTCAAGTCTTGGGTACCCCAGGCAAAAAAGGCACTGGTTTGAATCCCCTGCAATTTGATAACCCTGCAGAATTATATGTAGAGGACACAGGAGATATGTACATTGTGGATGGAGATGGAGGATTGAATAACAGATTGATCAAATTGTCCCAAGGTACCTGGCTTGTTTTTGTGTGGTATTGTAAGAATATTACTTAATAAGTTGGCTTTAATTTGTTTGGATACTTGGTATAATATTACAACTGTTGTGTATGAAGCTGTGTATAAAGGCCTCTAGTGTATTACTAGGAAAAAATCAGAACAGATGTGTGGAATGACCAATAATAAATGCTTTTGATATTAGGCTTGTTTATTTTTCACCAAAATCTAGATGTTTCCTTCAAAATGAACTAGAGGCAGTATGAGAATTTGTAGTGGGCTCAAGAAATAAGTGGTTATCCTGTACAATTACGAATGGAGAGGTTAGGAACCTGGCATCTCAGAGCTGAGGTGGCCTGCAGGGTGATGGATCGGCAAGTGTTTTATTGTATTCCCTACTCTGCGTCCTCAGTAGTGTCCTAGGTGCAGATCTATTGCAGACGAAACAGTTAAATGCTACTCTGTGAAACTGATTGTTGAAGTAAAATAAGATTAGAAGGAGAGGCTGCTTTTGACTGGAGAAGTAGGACAAGAGTTCATGAAGGAAATATTCTTGAACTCAACTGGTTTTGCTGGGAGAGGAGAGGGATGGGAGGAGCCTTTACAAGGCCTTATCACGCAAGGTCTACAGGTGAAAATTAGCAGGTCTTCTAGGAAAGGAGCTCAGGATGTACTTTTTGAATAGTAGAAAATAAGATTTACGATGTCCTTGAAAGTTGATCTGAGGATTTTGAAGCCATAATTTTGCTATAAGGAGACTTTGAGGTTTTTTAGTAAGAAAATGATGTTATAGAAGCAGAGTTTTTACAAGACACAATACTATATCAGGATATATTTGCAATAAGCTCTGTCATTTGGAGGCTGTCTGGTCACTTTATCACCCCGTAACTGAATTTGGTTGGTGTTAGAGGGAGGTGAGATGGGGATAAAGTAAGAATCTAAAAAATTCTGTGAAAGAAAGAAAGAACCAAATTTAGGAGACAGATCGAATATAGGTGTATTAGTTTCTTGTGGCTGCTGTAGCAAATTGCCACAAACTGGGTGGCTTAAATAGAGATTTCTTCTGTCACTGTTTTGAAATCCAGAAGTCTGAAATCTATAGGGCAGGCCATGCTCCCTTCAAAAGCACTAGTGGGGGGATCCTTCCTTGCCTCTTCCAGCTTCTGGTGGCTCCAGACATTCCTTGGCTTATGGCAGCATAACTCTAGTCTCTGCCTCTGTCTTCACATGGCCTTCTTCTCTGTGTGTCTCTGTGTCTCAATCTTCCTCTCCTTTCTCTTATAAGGATGCTAGTCATTGGATTTAGGGTCCACCCTAAATCCAGGATCATCTCATCTCAAGATCCCTAACTTAATTACATCTGCAAAGACCCTATTTCCAATAAGGTCACATTCACAGGTACTGCAGGCTGGGACTTGGGCACATCATTTTTTTGTATGGTGGTGGGGGGTCACAATTCAACCCACTACAGGGGTACTAAATGAGATAAACTATAAAAGCATCGTGTGAATTTTTAAGCTCAGAGGAATGGTAATACTAAATATCGGATTATTTGGGAAGTGGAACCAGTTTGAGGGAGAGGTTGACATGAACTCTAAATAATGATTTTAAGTGATGAAAAAATTCAAGTGGAGATAGTCATTAAAGAAGTAGATTAATTGCTTGAAGTAGAGAACAAATTTTTTTTTGTAAAGCATAAGAAATAGGCAAATAGATATATATTCAGAAAGCCAGGAAAGCATAACCAACTTGGGGATAATTGAATAGTTTGTCTACAACTTAGGACATAAAATATAACATGCGAATGCATAAGGTATTCTATATATTGCTCTGACCATATATGTTTACCATTTATAGATTTCATGATGCTTTGGTTGCATGGAGAAAACGGAACAGAGCCTGCTAAGTTCAACATACCTCACAGTGTTACACTTGATTCAGCTGGTCGGGTAAAAGTGCCATGTCACTGTATCTGGACCTGTGTGTCTGAGTATGTGTGTGTGTGTGTGCCTAGGTGTATGTGCCTGGACATGTATGTGTGCATCTTGGTGCACACGTGCGTGTCTGGACATCTAGGTATGTATGTATGCTAGTGGATGTGTGTATCTCAATGAGTCTGGACAATTCCTCTGGGCTGAATACATCCACAAACTGTTATAAGTGTTTGAGTCCTGTAATGAAGGGTCTTCTCCAAATATTTAGAAATGAGCAGAATAGATTTCCTGTGTCACTTAAAAGATAAAGAACAAATGATGAAACAACACCTAAGTAAAATTACCTGAGAAAAAGAGTCTTCTTTCTACTAGGAAAACACTGTTTGAATGTATTTTTAATTTCAGAATTAAACTAAATTAAATTAATTCTAGAATGTATTAATCAAAAGAGGGATGGGAGAGGTTAATCTTGGAAGCTTGAGAAAAAGAGCCACCCAGGCAAACTCCTTCTCACTGGCTGCACTCTCTCTGGGGAACAGAAAGCTTTAATCAACAAATTTCAATCCATTTCTTTTTTATCCACCCCTATCCATTACCACCTCTCTTGCTTTTATACGTCTTTAAGCATACATAAGAAGCATACACTTCTTTGGGGTTACCTTCCTATAACCTAACCCCCGACTTGAGATGTTTTGTATTGGTTTCTCCTTCTGTTTTCTTATAATAGCCTGTACTTCCCAAATTTAGTAAGTAACTATCATACTATAATATAATCATTTAATTATCTCCCCTAATAGAGTCTAGGCTATATGAGGGCACATACTGAATCTGTTTTCCTTTATATCTTAGTGCCTGGCATATAGTAGTCATCTTGTACCTTCTTGTTAAATGTCTTGGTGCACAATGGATGCATCAGACTATCTTGGCTTCTTGCCATTAGAAATTTAATCCATTTCCACTTCTGCTTCTGTGCTAGGCAAGCAGCCTTCTGATTATGATTTGGCTTCCTATGTTGACAAAATGAGAATGTTTTGATCATAAAATCTTCAAGTATTTCCCATCATAGATAGGAAGATAACTGAACATGCGAACTTTCTCTGTAAATTGGGAACTAAAAAGTTGGAGTTCTGGTTTTACACACGACTCTCCTGAGCCTGGTTAACTACTCCCCTCGTGGGATAAAAACAAGATCAAGTTTCTGAGCATGCAAGAACTAGACCCAGGTAAATTCACCATGGTGGGGAATGTCCTTTTGAGAGGCCTTGAAGATCATTTGATGGGGTTACTCTGCCATTACTGAGTGATGAAGAACAAGAGTGTTGATTTCTGCACAGTTGTATTTTTATAACAACACTATTGTATTGTGAACACTTTACATGGTTAACTCATTTAATCATCACTCCAACCCTGTATGAAAAGTTCATTACTTCCAGAGTTAGACTTGTTTCTTAAACAAAATTTCTCATAATCTAAATCTATTGAGTAAGAAAGATAATGCTAACAATATAAAGTGTCATTCAATCCTAGGGTCTAAACTATATTTCCTCCTTGGTCAGTTATCTAAGACAGTAATCCCCAAATCTTTAAGGAAACCCATCCTTAGTAAAGATCAGGAAAAGATCTTGCGAAATTACCTTACTTGAGGGTCAACAACCTTTCTAAAGTGGTAGAATGAGTCTTTGTTTCTGATTGGAGATGAGTTCAGTAGCTATCAAAACTCACATGCATTAACAAAGATATAGTCAGGGTTACCCTGAAGAAATAGGCCCTGAATCCATAAACCCAAGAAGTCCAGAGATCCTGAAGCAGGGAAGTGTAGAGGTCAGCAGAGTTGGCCCACCCTTCCAGTCCTTTCTTACATACCTCTCCACGGCCCTAGCCATCTGTCATTAAAAACTGTTTCACCGTTTGTGTGCCATAGGTTGCAGACATCAAATACAGTACATGAAGTGTCATTTAGAATGACTCTACCTTCCTGTTTTATAACAGTTTACTTAATGACTCATTACAGCTGATAGCAAACCTAAGTTAAACCTATTGGTGGCCTGTTCTTTGTGTGTTACGGAACTCTCCCAAGCTTCCTCTTTCAGTGGTTCTGCACTCTGGACGTGCCTTAGTAAACAGCGGGTAGAGGTTTAATGATGCTGCAATAGGAATGAATCCGTGGCTTCCCCAGCCTGAGCTCCTGAGGAGCGGGGCTGCTTTTCTTTGTCTTTGTCTTAGTACCTGGCCCAGAAACTGACAAGCTGACAGGACTCAGAGACAGTGAATGCTTGTAAGAGGAATGAATGAATGCTGTCACTTCTCATTATCTGCTAATCCTCTGCATTATAGTGGAGCACTCCAGTTTTTTAGTTATTCAAATATTTAGCAGACAGAGCATTATAGGCTTTGGGTTAAGACAGGTGGCGTAAGCGGCTCTCCCATTTATTGTAAGCTCACTTCAAACATGTTATTTAGCCGTCCTGAACTTCAGTTTCCTGTCTGAAAATGGAGCTTTTAGGAGTCCTCTACATATTAAATGAGATAATGTATGTGAAACTAATGAAAATAAACTTTCATTCTTCTCCATCTCCCCTTTCTTTTTTCTTTCTTCTCATTATAATGTGGATCTTTTCCAGTAAACACTTTTTTGGTTTATTAGGTGTGGGTTGCTGACCGAGGAAATAAAAGAATTCAAGTATTTGATAAAGACACTGGGGAGTGGTTAGGAGCATGGACTAATTGTTTCACGGAAGAGGGACCTTCTTCAGTCAGGTAATTGTTTCTTTTTATTTTAAAGCACTTGTTTTATTTGGTTTATGTTAGTTTCTCTGAAGAGCTAGCTGAAAGTTAAAATATCTGTTGTTAATTTTAAGCAAGGAAAAAGGGAAGGAGACAAGTGTGCAGAGAACATGTAACTGTATTTCAAATCCCAGGCAGAGTGAAAGCAGTTTAACTCCCAGTGCACTGTGGGGTCCAAATGTCAGAGATAATATATGCTGGACCTGTCCCACAGCCTTTACCCTCGAGATACGTTTGGTAAATTTTTAAACATAAAATGAAAATAAAAATCTTGAGTCTATAGTGTCAGATCCAGGCTGACATCAATTCTCCCGTAGTTTCATTTTGTGTGGTACTCTGATAATTGTTATGTTTTAAAAGTTTAAGCTAATCTTTGGCTGTGTCTACCATCACAAATCTCTCATTCCCTCATAAACAGTATTAGATCAATTTTAAATTCTCCTTAAAAGAACTCTTCAGCCAGTAGGTCCCTCCTGTTGTTTTGCTCTGTAGGGAATAAGAATGTTGAAAAAGTAAATGTTTATGTTAATTTTACCTAAATTTATTATGTAAACTGTCTTTCTCCATAGATTTACCCTTGATGGGAAGTACTTAATTGTAGCCCAGCTGAACCTTAGCAGGCTCTTATTTGTGGCAGCACCCCCAGCAGGAAGCATCGGCGACTGTTCTGTGATCAGCACAATCCAACTAGCAGATCAAGTTTTACCTCATCTCTTAGACGTCAGTGGGAAGACTGGAGCAATCTTTGTAGCAGAAATTGGAGCAAAACAAGTACAAAAATATGTCCCTTTGAATGGCTATTTCCTGTCATTTGGTTCATAATGTTTCTTTTCCTGGAGATCTTTCAAGTGGAAGTTCAGATTCTCAAATTCATTGTGAAATACTTAAAAATAATGTCCAAGCACAAGAATTTGTTTATTTGTAGCTGACCCAGTGTCAGAAAGATTTGTTCTTATGTCCTTAAGAATCGTGTAGTTTGTTGCCATTCTTGCAACTTAGTTTTACTTGTAAGTGCATAGGGATATTTTAATGAAGGAAATGTAATTCTAAAAATATGGGGTCATAAAGAGGTACTAAGGTTGACCTAGTTATTTGCCCTAGTAGACTAATTCTCCCTGGGGGGAGAAAACAGGAATAAAAATGGGTTTGCAGGGTAATGTATTGAGTTTCATGGGAAGAACTACAAACCTCCAGTTTGTTCACCTTGTGTAAAATGAACTTCTTGAGAGACTGAGTCGATGGGCTCTGGATTCATGAGTGCCCACCGAGTGCTAGGTCCTGAAGATCCAAAAATGAAGAGGCAGGTTTTCTTTGTGTGCCTTCTGAGTAGCTTATAGTCCAGTGGGGACACAAGTGTACAGACACAACACAGTGACAGCAGCACACAGGAATAGTGGGACTTTTGGAAGGAGGAGGGTTACATCTGACTGAGGGAATCATGGCAACTTCGCAGGGGAAGTCGATTTGAGCTCCAACTTGGGAAACTGAGCAGGAAAAAACAGCAGGTTCCAAGTAGAGAAGTTATAAAAAGTTATAAGCTTGCTGTGAACTTTTAGTAGGTTTGCTTTTAAAAGCCCAACTTGGCTTTGGTCCTTTAGCTGGAAGACACTTAATTTCAGCCTTTAAATGTAGGAATAAAGTGGGTAGAGTCTAATCAGCACTTTATTGAAAGGGATCTTTACAAATAACTGGAATGTTTTTTACAGATAGCCTTAAAAATAGGGTCTGTGCTCAGTGCTTCCTCCTTTCTTTTTTCTTCTTCTAACTTTTTTTTCTTTTTTTACATGAACTTAGTTCATTCCTAACATTTGTCTACCTCAAAGAAGTTTTGAAATTATTTATGTGGGAATATGTCCCAAACGCTTTGAGCTATTAAGATGAATAATTTCCTATGTTCTGTTTCCATGTCTTGTTTTTATCCCTTTGGTCTGAATATTGGCTTCCCAATTAAGACCATTTTTTCAGTTTCTTCTAGTTTATTCTAGGTTTTGGTGGATCCTTGCCATATTGTGATCTTTCAGATCATTCTTCCCGTTTTCTCATATTGGCCTCCCTCTTTATCTTGGAGTTTTACTGTAAAATCTGTAGCAGTTGAGGAATCTGGACCTGACTCTCCTCCTTGCCTGTCATGACTGGAGTCTGTTTTCCTGGACCTGGAGGAACTCATACTTGTGTTGATGCTCCGGTTATACCTTGATGCAGTTAGGAAGGTAAGTCTACCAACAGGAAGCTGTCCTGTATTCCAAGGCCTTGATAAGTGTGTTTGTGCAACTGATCCAGCTGTGTGATCTTACGTACGTTGCACTAGTTTTCTCTTCAGTACAATGGGAACATCATTGTCTGTTTTTGAGGAACGCTGTGAGGATCAGATGTGCAATAGGTACACATGTGCCCTTTAGGATCTATAGCTCTGAGTACGTTAAAACCATCTTATTAACAAAGGTCCTTCTAAATGTGCTGTTTACCTGATAGCAACTATCAGGTTTGCCTTAAATTTGCATTCATTGCTTTTATCAAAATGTATCAGGGGCCGGACCCATGGCCGAGTGGTTGTGTTCGCACGCTCCACTTCAGCAGCCCAGGGTTTCACCAGTTTGAATCCTGGGTGCGGACATGGCACTGCTCATCAAGCCATGCTGAGGTGGCATCCCACATTCCACTAGAAGGACCTACAGCTAGAATATACAGCTATGTACTGGGGGGCTTTGGGGAGAAGAAGAGGAAGAAGAAGAAGAAGAAGAAAAAAACGTATCAAAACTTTACTCAGTTTAGAGTATAGTAAATTGATTTGGATGAAAGAAAGTAATTTGAGGTTTCATTTGTTTTGTTTTGTTTTTAAGCCAGGATGAGAAGTGCAAATGTCTCTTTGAAGGAATGCAGGTTAGGTAAACTGATTTTGTCATTTCAAAAATGTTGTATTTAACTTTGTTTTATACCAGATTCTTATAAAACTTGCTAAAAATATTGGTTCCATATATCTTGCTTAAGTGTTTATTTTACTAGCGTACTTACAGTATTTCACTTCTTTCCTTTGGATGAATTGGTTAAATGGATGAGAAATGTGTTGTATTTTCTATTAAAAAATACAAATTAAAATTTTGGAAAGAAAAAGTAATATTATTTGGCACTCCAGTTTGATTTTGTTGTTACCAAAGCAGTTTATAATTTCTTATTCCATTGTGTCATTTCAACAATTGTGATCTACCCATTGATGTAAGCAACAATCGTGAAATCCTAGGATGGTGCTGAGAGAATATCCTCCTCTTCATTCACATGTGAAGTGTAGGCTGAAGTGCACAGATGTTGCTAAAGGTTGCTTAGAAGGCTTAACGTGGCTTTTGAGATGGTGGATGGGTACAAACAATGGTAATAACTAGCTAACTATATTTTTGTATTAGAAATGAAACCTCCGTATTCCTCTACTTTCTAGATCTATGCTGGGGAGAGGGGGAGGGTGTTCTGTATTAGAAAATCAAAGGCTATGGTGGGTGTCTTTCCTAACCTCCACTGTAACATTGGGTCTTTAAAATGGATTGTTTGTCCCTCAGAGAAGACGTGCGTGCAGTCTGATGGTGAACTAAGGAGACCTGTATAATTTGTGCTTGGGTCACAGAACAGATTAAATGACATCTTCAGACAGTGTGGCTGCTCAGCTGAAGGTGATAAAGTCCTAACTTTTCTTTCCCTTTTGTTACCTTTAAAAATCATTGGATTTTAAAGCAGGATAGATTGGATAGCCAATATTAAAACTGGAAACTGTCAGAGTTTTGCTCCTTAGATTCACCAAAATAAATCAGTCGTAAAAAAATGGTATCCTAAATTTATGACTTTAAATTGTTTTCCTCTCTGCTCTAAATTTTCAGTAGTTATCAAATAAAAAACTTTTTTAAAAAGTGAGAATACATCAGATTTATTCATTCAACAAAAATATATGAAACAACAGCTGTGTGAAGGCAGTTAAGCAGGTATCTTCTGCCCTAGAGTCCACTGCCTTTGGGAAAACAAGACAGGCAGCCGTGGCCTTTAATTCCTGCTAGGAGGGATTGTGTTTGGCACTTGTGATGTGTTACATCCTTAATACAAAAGAGGGCAGTAGAGTCCCACTGATGATGAGCATTTCTTGAAATCAAGTGTGGGCATATGTTGACCTTTATACTTTGAGTTTTTTAAAAAATTGAGACTACAGTGTTAACCATACTTTTAGTTTTTCTTCAACTTGCTTACATTTTGAGGAAATTGGTTTATAGGTGACCTATTTTCCAAAAGTTTTTGGAAATTTTTACTGTTTGATTGGGCATTTTCACATTAAAAAAAAAAAAAAGGTTAAGTGTTTTCGATAATTCAAACCAACAACCAGAAGGGAATAGCTCATTTTAACCATTTTAAACTATACCCTGAATATGAGTTTAGCACAATAGAAAATGCATTCATGCTAGCGGAGAATTATTCTTGTTCTCCCTACTAGTTTTTTTCCCAAACAGTTTTGCCTTGTGGTTGCTGACTCTTACAAATAAGAAAAATGGATTATTTACAAAGAGGCCAAGTCATTTCTGTACCAGGCATTTATCCATAGAATCCATGAGTTTATAGAGTAAATTATCCCTGTAAATATTTAATGACATGTAGATACTCCCTTTGTAAGAACTGAGTGGACTCTCAGCAATGAAAAATAGCACTTTCTGAAACTCGTTTCCTACATTGTAAACAATGAAATCACATTATGATTTAATTCTGCTTCTATGTAATTCATAAAGAAAAGATACATAACATGAAACAAGCATGTCCTAGGTAGGTTGAGTCTTTTGAATAAAATCTTTACAAAGGTAGATTAAATTGCATGTGTCATAACAAGTTGATATCATACCTGCTTCTCAGTTTTACCACTTCATCCTCAAGAAAGAAAATTTTAGTAGCATGGTTCAGGTCTCAGATTCATTCTTTACCAGAATCAGTTACTGATATGTGTTAATGAAATTTTTTTTCATAGGACTTTTATGTACAAATGGTCACAGTCCCCAAAGTTAAACATTTTTATAAGATTTTTCTTCATAGTATGTGTACGGGGTATTTTAATGTTTCGATGCTTACTATATTTAACTGAAGTAGTAATTTTTACTTAAAGGGATTTAAGAATTACATATATGTTTGTTTTTAATCGACATTAATTTTTAAAATTTATCTCGTTTTTCCTTTGTAGGGTGTATGTGTGTGTGTAAGTGTGGATCTAAAGGGCCTTATGCCCAAATAGATCAGAACAATTAGTTGAAACTTAACGTGGCTAAATGTAAGTATGTACATTTAAAAATTCATGGAAGAAACCTGGATTGGCAACAAATTGTTTGAAAAAGATTTGGAAGGTTTCTTGGCCATAAATGTTACAAGCCTCATTAAGAGAAAACTTGTTGCAATCTCAGGGAAGATTGATGTAATCGTGGTGATGGTGTTGGGTTTCCTTTTGGATGCCACATTTTGAGAGAGAATCCTACAAACAGACTCTAATCTGAAAGCAGGTGACCAAAATAACACAGTTTGGAAATAATTCTGAGATCTTCAGAGGGTGATCATGTAGTGGAGTGAACAGACTTAGTGAGCTTTCCTCCAGAACTAAGTCAGTGAATAGAAATATAGAGTGTCCAACTGGCCCAGGCCTGTAAAAGAACCTTCTAGCAAACAGATGGTTAGTGGAATGGACTGTGTTAATACTGGAAATGGTTAAACTCAGTGATTCACAACACAAAATCTGGAGTTAGGTAGACCTTGTTCTGATCCAGGGCCTGCTACTTACTTTTTGTATTGTTTTTGAGACTCTGCCTCATTTTTCTCATTTGTGAAATGGAGATAACAGTATTTTCCTCATGGGGTTATTGTGAATACAAATAAGATCATGGATGTGGAGCATTAGACCCAGTCCCTGACACAGTAAGCACTCACCAAACTTTAAGAGATTCATTTGTGGTATTTAAGCCAGAGATGGGCAGCCGTGCTGCCTTCGGGCAGAGATTCTTAAATTGGGACGATGGTAAGACCAGATGACCTTCCCTATTGTATAATTCTGTGTTTAGTCACAATATTGAAAACTAAAGCTATAGTTGTAATACACTAAGGCATCTGTCATTTAGAAGTGGCCTTTTTGTTTGTTTTCGTGAGGAAGATTGGCCTTGAGCTGATATCTGTCGCTAATCTTCCTCTTGCTTTTTTTCCTTGAGGAAGGTTGTCACTGAGCTAACATCTGTGCCAGTCCTCCTCTATTTTATGTGGGACACCTCCACAGCATGGCTTTGACAAGTGGTGCTAGGTCTGCGCCTAGGATCTGAACCTGCAAACCGTGGACCGTCAAAGCAGAGCACGTGAACTTAACCACTATGCCACAGGGCCATTAAAAACGAAATGGCCGTTTTTAAAAACAGCTATTTTCAGTTCACATGAAAGCTATTTATTCATCCAATAGATGACTCCATGTCAGGTACCAGGAATACGGTGGTGAGCAAGATAAAGACTCCTTTTCTGGAATTTACATTCTACTTGAGGAGAGAGAAGAGTTTGAATGAAAAAGGGAGATTCTGATTAGAATTTGTAGTGTGTATTAACACGTGGTTGGCTAAATAAACATCCATTCCCAACGTTCTCCCTTACTTTCCACCACTGCAGAGACTAAAAGAGCTAGGTGCTTGCTTCCTCAGCTTGCTAGCATTTAGGGCTGGCCATATGATGTGGTTCTGGCTAGTGCAATATAGATGGAAGTCTTCTGGGGGACTTCTGGAAAATCATTTGGTTTTCTGATTTACAAAAAAAAGGAGCAGGTATATTTAGCACCACCACCCTCTCTCTTCTTCATTGAATTATCCATTCAAGTTCAAGTCATAGCAGCAGTCTTCTTGGAACTATAAAGCAACAAACCAGTATTCCAAAGGGAGGCCAAGAGGTAGGAGCCTGGGTTTCTATGGTTGGGGAACTACTGTGCTGGCATTGTAGCTCCTTTCTCCAGACTTCTTTTTTGTGTGAGATAATTGAATATTTTAGTTACTTAAGCCACTGTTAATTGGATGTTTTCTTGCCCATAAAGGCATTCCTAGGAAATTCAGTATTAAATTAATCTGCATTAATTTTGGGAAGGATGGATATTTTTTATGGTTTTGAGATTCTGTATCCAGAAAAGTGTCATACTGCTTTTCTGTCTTATTTTATGTCTGTTAATATTTTATTTTTTCAATTTAGATCCTGTGTATTTATTTTGAGACATATTTAGATTCCTATGTCAAATTTATACTGTGCATTTATTAATTGTAGCTACCAGAGTAGGACTTTTTTCCCATTTCTGATTAGCTTTTGGTGGTACAGAGACAAGTTATCAATTCTTTTTAAATTTATCTATTCATCTCACTAAACTCCTACTAATTTTAATTAGCTATTATAGGTATTTGGATTTTCTAGCTATACCATTCTGAAAATAAAGATAACTATACACCTTTCAATATTTTTATTGCTTGTTTGATTTTTAAAATTTGGATAGCACAGCAGGTGACTTTAGGTTTTCATAATAATAACAAATAATTTCTTTTCACTCAATTTCCTTGTTCATTGGTCTAATTTTCCTTTTCTACCAACCCCTTAAGTTCATGGATTATCCAGTGTGACCTTTTGGCAGTGTTTCTAATATTTCAGACTAACCTCAAAGATTAAAAATTATCATTCACATTGAAATATTTAGTTAGTTGAATCTTCTGTTAAATACTTTTCCAAATAAAAGTGAAGTCAGTCTGTGAAGAACTAAGGAAAACAGTTCTCAAAAAGCTTTTAAGTATTTATGTGTGTGTGTATTTATTTCATCAGCTCACCTCTGAGAACTTACCTGTTCTGCTATCATTTTTTTTTTTTCCCTGAGAAGAAGTCATTTTTCATGTGAAAACAGCTCAAGTTTCAATGCAAACTTTTCTCACATAGATTATTTCTGAGTTCCACAGAGGGGTTTGCAGTAATTGTTTCAAACATCCTAAAAATCAAATGGAAGGCAATAAAATGCAATCACAGCTTCATACTGGTAATGTTGAGTTATTACACCTTTACTGATGATTACACTAGTTTTCATCTTTATTTGTATTTTAAAGCCTAGATAATAAACC